GCGTTATCATCTCGCTTGATACCACTCATACGCTGCAATTCCAAAGGATTAAGATGTCAAGCCTCCAGATGCTGTAATATCTCATCTCTAAACCAAGACACATCTTACAAAGCAGGCCTTTGTTACACTGGTAACGATGTAGCCAACTTACGACGGCCTTGGTGGTCTAGCGGTTTAGCACACCGCTTTACTTCCAACGGTCGCGGGTTCGATTCCTCTCACGATGTAAACATTTGTATTCATGAGTATATTTGTAGCGATCTGGGTGTTTTCTATGTTATGTATTTACAAAAAACATATATTTTATTTACATGTATTTTCATAACATAAGTTCTGCTTACCGTGGGACTAGATGGCGCTGTGTTAATTTTTTTTTTGATGATAATGGAATGGTGCACCCGCCTGCGCTAACGGTTTACGATGGCAGGGCACCAGTAGAAGATGATAAGATGAGCATGAGGTCAAGTCAGTTAGCCCATCGTGACAAATTCAACAAGATTTTATCACGATGGTTTCCAGGGGGAACCGCGTGGAGATCAACATGGCATGGTACATTGCTAGCAATCCCCTTTCCCACCGCGCTGTAGTAATTGTCCAAGGTTATTTATGACTAGCTGACCTCCCAAACGTTGTTTTGTCATATAAATTAAAATCGCTTAAATATAGGGGTTGATGATAGAAGGGCGAAAATTTAGGGTTGTATGCATTTTTAATGCCACATACAAATAAATAAATAATAAAATTGTTGTTAGTAGACAACCCTTATCACTTAGTGGTATGAAAAATAGATAGTACCCGATTCTCAGACCTACGGAACATGCATATAAAATCTCATAAAAATTGGTCTAGTCGTTTCGGAGGAGTATGGTAACTAACATTGTGACACGAGAATTTTATATATAAAACTAGCTCGCCACGTTGTTTTACTATATAAGCTAAAATCGCTATTAAAAAATAAGATTTGATAGATACATAGATAGATAAGTTCCTTATTCAACAATTACAAACACAGCATACATGAGATACATTTTATAAATAGAAATAAAGTTTACAAATTAAATAGTACAGAAATATAATGTTGCAAATTAAAATAAAAATGGAGGTGGCTTTATGTGTCGCAATGATGAAGAGGCAACCAACTCAGCATAAAGCTACAGATAAGTCTGCAGCGCTGATATTCTGTTGGCTCCTATAATTAAATACATACTTACATACATATATACGTGAATGTTTATATATTACACTTCGAGCTCTTAAACAATTATACAATTACAAAACATTATACAATATATAAATAGATTAAAAATGATGTGATGTGTTATGTTATACATATATTGTTAAGCTATACATACTACGTACATATATAATAGGTGTTAGCATATATAAGGTCGCTGGCTAAACGCGCCGTGAGTCAGATATTATTGTTCCTGACCATGCTTACAGACTTCGGTCGTTGAAAAAGACTCGTCAGATAAAGGACCTCCTATTTAAAGTCAGTTGTTCAGACAATAAGTGTTTTTTTAAAAGGTTTTTAAAATTCACTTTAGTTTTTATATAGCGAATGGGAGGAGGTAAGTTATTCCAACACTTGGAGGCCAAATATCTGAAACTGCCTCTGAAGGCAGTAGTCCGATAGTGATGGTGATAGAAGAGTGAAAACTTAGGGTTGTATATATTTTATAACGTCACATTATAAAAATATTAAAATTGTCAAAAAAACAAATGTTGGACAGGGGTGGACAACCCTTATCACTTAGGGATATGAAAAATAGACACGCTATTTTTCATTATATAAAATTTCATAAAAATCGGTCAAGTTTCGGAGAAGAATGGTAACTAACATTGAGACACGAGAATTTTATATATAAGATTATTATTTACCACTGTAGCCGATTCTCAGACCTACTGAATATGCATATAAAATTTCATAAAAATCGATCAAGCCGTTTCGGAGGAGTATGGCAACTAACATTGTGATATGACACAATTCCTAGACCTACTGACAGCCTCGGTGGTATAGTGGTTTAGCACACCGCTTTACTATCCATTGGTCGTGGGTTTGATTCCGCGCACGGTACAAACATTTGTATTCATGAGTATGATTGTTTGTATCGGTCTGGGTGTTTTCTATGTATAATATGTATTTATTTACAAAAAAAATGTATCCATGTATTTATATCAGTTGTCTAGTACCCATAACACAAGCTCGTCTTAGCTTGGGACTAGATGGCGCTGTGTGAATTGTCCTGAGATATTATTATTATTACTGAATATGCATATAAAATCTCATAAAAATCGCTCAAGCCGTTTCGGAATATGGTAACATTGTGACACGAGAATTTTATATATAAGATTATTATTTACCACTGGTCTAATTTTAACATGACTAAGCTTTGGGTTAAATTGGAAAAACTTTGTACAAGATAACGAGTTTTGTTCAGTTTGCAAACTAACGAAGATAGACAAGTCTCTTGTAGGGCTGATGTAATTATAACAGGATGCCTGCGCAGCCATATCGTTAAATATATTTACGTCATTATTCTGAGGATATTACTTGTAGAGTGGGTTATGGTCGAGCGCAGTGATAGCTGGCTCATCTGTCATACTCGTGAACGGGTGCTGCTTATAGGGACTGATCTGCTCTAATCACTACGACTGATTTCCTCTTATTTAGTTGTTTAACCAGTTGGTTGTATACTTAATATTTTTTCTATTTGAGTGTTTAATTGAATTAGTGCTAATTGGTGGTTTGCATTCACACACTTAAACTTAAAATGTAAAGTAATAATAAAATTATTTAAAAGAGCAACACGCAAGTTTCTTACTCGTTCTTCTTGTGATGAGTCAGCTTTCCGAATGAGCGGTAGATTAAAAAATAATGTGATGACTATTCAAAAGTGCTTAAATGTATAATAAAATATTCTTATTATTTTAATAATTAACCTTGACACTTAGGGATATAAAAATAGATAACCTATTTTCAGAACTACCGAGTATACAGATAAAATTTCATCAAAATTGGTTAAACGAATTCAGAAATTCAATAGAGTTTCCGGTTCAGTTCGATCTATATACTGAACTGGAAATTGACGGTAGGGAAAAAAAATATAATATAATACAAAAAAACTCGCCGTTCATATGCGGCTAAAATGAATAAATGATTTTTAAATTTTAATTTGATTTTGCGGTTTCGAAGTATGACAACTAACGTTGAGACACGAGAATTTTATATATACACTAGCTATTGCTCGCGGCTTCGTTCGCGTTGATTTATCCCCTTAGGGGTGGAATTTATCAAAATGCTTTCTTTGGGGATGCCTACGTCATAGTAGCTTTATGCATGCAAAGTCTCAGCGCGATCAGTTTAAAATTGACAAAGTTTCATACAAACTTTCATCCCCTATTTAATTCTACCCCCAAGGGGGTAGAATTAATCAAAATCCTTTCTTAGCGGATGCCTACATCATAACATCTACCTGCATGTCAAATTTCAGTCCGATCCGTCCAGTAGTTTGGGCTGTGCGTTGATAGATCACTACGTCAGTCACCTTTGAGTTATATATATTTAGATATAGATAAGGTAGCAAGGATTTCACTACAAGTACTAAAAAGAAAGTGTTTGAATAAATCAGACGAAATAAATAAGTAATGGTTCTTGAAACGGCGTACAAAGTTGTAAAACAAGCAAATCCACCAGTATTTATAAATGAACGACGCTGTTTGATCTAGTCTTCAAGAGACACTTGAGACCTGAGAGAGGTTCTCGACGAAATGTAAAAAGACACGACTTTTACGACAGACTTTTATTGTTATAAAATACTAGCTTTTGCCCGCGACTTCGCTCGCGTTAATTTATCCCCTTAGGGGTGGAATTTATCAAAATTCTTTCTTAGGGGATGCCTACGTCATAGTAGCTTTATGCATGCAAAGTCTCAGCCCGATCGGTTTAAAATTAACAAACTTTCATATAAACTTTCATACCCTATTTTATCCCTTTGGGGGTAGAATTAATCAAAATCCTTAGCGGATGCCTACGTCATAACATCTACCTGCATGCCAAATTTCCATCCAGTGGTTTGGGCTGTTATGTGTTTAGATATGTTATGATATTTAGATATCACTTCACTGTGACTGTGACCTTATGACGTAGGCATCCGCTAAGAAAGGTTTTTGATTAATTCTACCCCCAAGGGGATGAAAGTTTGTATGAAACTATGTCAATTTTAAACTGATCGCGCTGAGACTTTGCATGCATAAAGCTACTATGACGTAGGCATCCCCTAAGAAAGGAAACAAAAGTAAAGCCGCAAAAACCATACCTAATTAATAATAATACTTCTTAACGCGAGCGAAACTGCAGGCAAAAGCTAGTCTATGTATATATCTAACTTGTTTCCATCAATCGCGTTGATCCTTGAGCTTAAATTGATTTACTTTTGTTGAGCCATTGTACAGAAACTCCATCAAAACTGTGTCGCTTGAATTATGTACACAATAGAGCCGGTGGTTGCAGTGAACTTGTGATGAATCTGCATTGTTTACTGCATCCGCAGCCGACAATCTGCATTTGCAATGTGCATTTGAAAAACTAATAAACTCGCTCACGTTGGAAGGTATTGCATTTTAGTTTTTAAACATGTAGAAAGACGAATAGGTGAGACGATACTATGGTATACTGTGTGGATTTAAACTTGACAAGTCCTGAGTTTGATTCTGGCGATTGGGAAAAAATGTTAAGCTACAAAAGCAAACTTATCTTAGGGTAATTACAGTATCCACCGAGCATAAAAAAAAAAATTATAAATATAAAAAAACATATATGTTTTTTGTTCACCCTTTATATATATGTACATATATGTTTCTTATTCAGACAGGGAATTCATCTCCACACACTGGGACCTAAATTGTCTCGGACAGTGCGGTTTCAGAGGAGCTTCCCCCCGCGTACACTTAGATTGTGGAATGAACTACCTGCCGAGGTTTACTATAGAGACTACAGCATGGGGTTTATCAAGAAGGCTTTATTGAGGTTTCTTAATGGTTAGCCACGCGCACGTGTCACTCCTGGTGTTTCAGGCGTCCATAGGCTACGGTAACCGTTTACCATCAGATGGCCGTATGCTATAAAATTTTAAAGATTCCTTAAAAGGACTAAAAGATCTCGTTTAGTCATAATACCCTTATTTTTCAGGTGGAGACGAACAGTTAGACCCAGGAGTACGATTCCTATCAGAACCTCAAGATGCGGTGGTGGTGGAGGGAGACAGCACGATTCTGGCGTGTTCAGCAGCCTCACACCACACCACGAGGCTCTCCTGGCGGCACAGTACTTCAGCGCCCCCTACGAGGGACCATACCCTCTCCGGCACTGACAAATACAGGTAATGTTCAAGTAATATGGCTGGCTCATCGTTATACTCGTGAAAGGGTGCAGCCTGTAGAGACTGGTCTAGTCTGATAACTATGACTGATTTATGCTTTATGGACTGATATGAGATTTTAAGCAATACAGCAATAATTTTTATCCCCATTATGTATCTTAAATACATTGTCCATTTAATATAGATCAATATGGCCCGATGTATAATTTACAGCAGGTAATTTCCGAAGATATTACAGATTAAAAATGCAGGGACATAGCGATGCAGCGGTACCGGCCCGGCCGGCGGCGCGTGTCTATAAAGCATTGCACCCGCGCGAAGCCAGGGCGGGTCTCTAGTTATGTAACGCTTTATCCAATATGTATTTATAGCAGGTATCCAGTCACCTCAACATCCGCTGTGTTAGGTTGACTGGATGAGATCTCTGCTAGGGATAAGTCCATATATGCTCATCATCATCGCAGCACGGAAGACGTCCGCTGCTGGACATAGGCCTCCCCCAAAGATCTCCACCACGATCGGTCCTGCGCTGCTCGCATCCAATGCCTTCCCGCGATCCTGACCAGATCGTCGGTCCACCTTGCTGGATGCCTTCCCACGATGCGTCTTTGCTCATATAGTCTCCGAATTAGTCAATACTGCACTGTAATAAATATATTATAAATATTAATATGGATTTTGTGCATCAAAGTGTACAACAATCTTCCAAGAGAGATTAAAGAACTGGGGTCTCATACGTTTTTCAAACGCAAAACTAAAGAATTGGCTGTCACTTGGTAATTTTTACAGTGTCCAAGAATATTTAAGTAACACAAACACCTTCACGTAATTTGCATGCCTGTATGGTAAATATTGCTGATCAATCAATTTCATGTAACATCATATTAATTATAATTCGCAAATAAATTATTTCATTTCATATTTCATTTCATATTTCATTTCATATTTCATTTCATTTCATTTCAGAAAGCAACAAACAAACGGATCGCTGGTCATTGAGAAGATGTCAGCGGCAGTGGCGGGGCAGTACCAGTGCGTGGCGACGGTGGACGGCGTCGGCACCATCGTGTCCAGAGTCGCCACAGTTTTTTTAGCTGGTAATTGTAACCTTAAGAATAACATAACATTTACCAAAAAATTAAAGTACAGTAAGACTCCGCTTAACGAAACAGCGTCTTATTCACCTTTCTTTTCTTCAGAATAACTACTATCAATATTTTTGTTTTCTTCTTAGAAATAGAAATAATCTTTATTCAAATAAAATCATTAGAAGCACTTTTGAATAGTCATATTTTGATTCCACCACTCATTCGGAATGCAGATTCATCACAAGAAGAATGAGCAAGAAACTTGTGTGTTGCTCTTTTGTTTCATCTTCCAGAGCTGCCAATTCTGACGTCTTTACTAAGGGAATTAAACAAAATAATAATAATTGTTGTCTTAAATTCCAGAGCTGCCAATCCTGACCCCTGGGCCCAGGTCAGTGCTGGGTGCTCTAGGTGGTATGGCACTCCTCACGTGCACTATGAGGTCGACACAGGAGGCGCGCGTGGCGCTGCGAGTGCTCCTTCCAGCGACCTCGACGCCAGATCGAAGGGTGTACGGAATTGCTCGACCCCACACTGCTCCGCCAACACTTAAAGTCAATGTGAGTACAGAAGGGGCTTTTCAAGAAGGGTATATTAAGGTTTCTTAAGGGTTGGCAACGCGTACGTAACATATCCGTTGCTTCAGACGTCCATAGGCTACGGTATCGATTTACCATCAGATGGGCCGTATGCTTGTTTGCCACCATCGTAGTATAAAAAAAAGTGTTTGAATAAGCGTAATTGTCCACTTGTAGCGCGGTGCTTATGACCTCACCACTGTACTAGGTCACCACAAACTAAACTAGGTCAAAATTTTTCGTTATCATATTGATTTTACTTATTTTTGTTGACTTTGGTAAATTCAAATTCAAATGCAAAAATCATTATTATTTCTTTTTGTCCTTACCGTCCAGTTCGGTATATAGATCCAATTGAGAAGAACTGGCAAGAAACTCAATTGAGTTACTTTGATTTTAAAAGCCAGTTTATTTACAATGTATAGGTATTTATATAGGTGACTATTTCTAACATTAAATGAAAATACCGTGCATGAACAACTATTGCCATGCACGCTCGTCATTCAAGTAATCGATTTGCTCAGTAAATATGATTTAACAGATGTTTTGAAGTTATTTAAGGGTAATTCCAATATATGGTATCTTATTGTAAATTTTTATACCTATTCCCATAAAAGACCTATTGCATTTTTCTAAACGATACTTGGGGACAGTAAGTCTGTCTTTAAATCTAGTATTAATATTATGAATATTGCTGTTTTTTTGGAAATAAGTGAAGATCTTTGTGAACATATAGAATATTTAAGTATAGAAATTGTGTCATACTTTCATTCGTCCTACATACTATTATACATCATTCTGTGGTACTTGCAGGTGACTTGGTTGAAGAACGGCTCCCCAGTACGGCTAGAAGAAGGACGGGTATCAGTGACGGTGAGTGGTGCCCTCGAGGTGGACACGCTACGGCTCGACGACCAAGCTTCGTACTCCTGCCGGGTCGCTCTACAGAACAGGCCGGATCGATACATGTAAATACATTATTTATCATATAGCAACATCAAGTATTTTCTACACGTGCCACCTTTAGTCCTCTTAACTGTATTTCGGAGAAGTCATATCGCACGGCACGTGTAACTCATTAGCAGCGTGCAGCGGCGTGTGTATTACACGTGTAAATTAGTATCCAAAACCCAAACATTGCAATTAAATGCAGCCTGATCGAGGCCCATCCAATTCAAACGGGGATCGAAATTACGACGGCCTGAGCCGAGGTTCGAACCCCTAATGATGCCCTCAGACTAAAGTCGTATCCGTCAGGCGGGAGTTGGCCATCAGCCGCTCCATAAGTCCTTCCTTCGGTTTGGAGTGTCATCTCTACTCGCCTCCTATCGTTCGGTGAAGCTGTATATGCCAGCTGCGGCCATCATAAGAGTAGTCCGAAAAAAATATTAATCAAGTCGAGAGACAGATTAGAAATATGTATTTCTAATCTTTAGAAATATGTTTGTTAACTAACGTTATTATATTGTTTATGTTCATTGTTATTGTGGTCGCGCTGGGTCACCCGTAAGCCTGTTTACGAGCTGCTAATGGATTGATGCCAATGCAATTCATTCATATTTTGTACAAGTTGAAATGTAAATCTACCCTTTTTTGTTCGGACTACTCTAATGCTGTACGCCGCAGCTGGCCTTTACAGCTTCACAGTTAGGGGGCGAGTGCAGATGACACTCCAAACCAAAGGAAGGACTTATGGAGCGGCTGAAGGCCAACTCCCGCCTGACGGATACGACTTTAGTCTGAGGGCACCACTAGGGGTTCGATGTTTTTATAATCTAATGTTTTTATAGAAAAACTTTAAATCTATAGCACTGACAATATTATCTGATTACATTAATAATGAGTGCGTAGCGATTATCGCACGCCGTTACTTGTTGTTCTGTAATTATTTATATAAAAGAACATCTATTAAAAAAAGCAACACACAAGTTTCTTGCTCATTCTTCTTGTGATGAATCTGCATTCCGAATGAGTGGTAGAATCAAAATATGGCTATTCAAAAGTGCTTGTAATGAGTTTATTTGAATAAAGATTATTTCTATTTCTATTTCTATAAATTCTTGGTGAATTTGTCGCGATGTGCTAATTGACCTGACCTCATGTTCTTATCATCCTCCACTGGTGCCCCGCCAGCGTAAACCGTTAGCGCAGGCGGGTGCACCATTCCATTATCATCTACAAAAAAAAAACCACGTAACACCAAGCTCTGCTTACCGTGGGACTAGATGGGGCAGTGTTAATTATTTATTTATTTATTGTCATTTCAGCACGGGCAAGCCCACAGAGCTGGTGGTGAGTGCAGAAGCTGGTAACGCGGAGTCACCACCGCGGTTCATCGCCACGCCGCAGCCAGTTACCGTCATGGAAGGTCACCATCCCTACCTCACTCTCTACTAACCGCTTACATAATAATAATCTCAGGACAATTCACACAGCGCCATCTAGACCCAAGTTAAGCTAGCTAAAGCTTGTGTGAATTGTCCTGAGTTGTTTATTTATATATGAATTTGATTGTTTGTATTGATCTGCATGTTTTCTGTATAATATGTTATCTAGTATCATAACACAAGCTCTGTTGTAGCTTGGGACTAGATGGCGCTATGTAAATTGTCCCGACAGATCTGCTTGTTCCTTATCCCATTTATTTGTGGTCGTCGTAATATGTTTTTCTCTTCCATTCATCCCTGTTCGCAGTCATCTCGTTATTTACTTCCTTTCTCACCATATCATCTTTCACACAGTCCATCCATCTCTTTTTCGGTCTTCCTCTACCCTTATAACCTTCCACATCATATGTAACACCGTCCTTAGGATATGATAAATTGTCCCAATATATTATTATTATTATTATTATTAATGTTGTAGGTGCATCTGCAACATTCGACTGTGCGGCAACTGGCAACCCTAAACCGGAGATCACTTGGCTTAACAACGGCATCGCTATAGACCTCAAGTGAGTCAATTTTTTTAACTACTCTAAGGCTGTTATCCGCAGCTGGCCTTTACAGCTTCGCCGGACGATAAGGGGCGAGTGCAGATGGCACTCCAAACCAAAGGAGGGACTTATAGAGCGGCTAAAGGTTAACTCCCGCCTGACGGATACGATTTTAGTCTGAGGGCACCGCTAGAGATTCGAACCTCGGCTCAAGCCGTCGTAAAAATAATTTATTCATGTAGGACATTTTAGCCGCTTATGAACGTCAAGTTTTTACATTATATTTTATTTCCCTACCGTCCAGTTCGGTATATAGATCCAATTGAGAAGAACTGGCAAGAAACTCAATTGAATTACTTTTTTTTTTAAAGCCAGTTTATTTACAATGTATAGGTATTTATATAGGTGTCTATGTCTAACATTAAATGAAAATTCCGAACATGAAAACTATTGCCATGCACGCTCGTCGTTTAAGTAATCGTTTAAAAAAAAAAGTAATTCAATTGAGTTTCTTGCCAGTTCTTCTCAATTGGATCTATATACCGAACTGGACGGTAGGGAAAAAAATTATAATGTAAAAACTTGACGTTAATAAGCGGCTAAAATGTCCTACATGAATAAATGATTTTTGAATTTGAATTTGTAATTTCAAGCCCCATTTGAATTGATGGGGGAACGATCCTAGGGGTTATATTATTGATAATGTAATGGTGCACCTGATGCTGATGGTTTACGCTGGCGGGGCACCAGCGGACGATGATAAGATGAGCATGAGGTCAGGTCAGTTAGTCCATCAAAGTAAATTCAACATGAATTTATCACGATGGTTTCCAGGGGGAACCGCATGGAGGTCAACCTGACATGGTACATTGGTAGTAATGGGGTTATTAGTCCACATTACTAACAATCTTAACCTCGGTGGTCTAGCGGTCTAGCACACCGCTTTACGACCGATGGTCGCGGGTTCGATTCCTCGCACGGCACAAACAATTTGTATTCATGAGTATAATAGTTTATATCGATCTGGGTGTTTTCTATGTATAATATGTATATATTTACAAAAAAAAATATCTATGTATATGTATCAGTTATCTAGTACCTATAATACAAGCTTAACTTGGGTCTAGATGGCGCTGTGTGAATTGTCCTGGAAAAAAAATCTTCCTGTTTTAAACTTGACGCGGTCATTATTCTCGTGAGTACGGTTTGCCGAGATGAATATCGAGCGAGTTCCAGTAGTAGCAACAAACGAAGACGTGTGAAGGTAGACGCATATGTCTGCCCATAAAAAGATTTCATTTTCCATCTACCCGCTGCTCTTCAGTTTACCCGTGATCATGGTGGTTGAAAGACTACCGAAATATCGGTAACTCAGCAAATAAATATAAAACGTGGTAAGATCCCATGATTTTTACTAATTATACGTATAAAAATCTTCCTGCCTTCCCTTTCAGTTGCGGCCCGGGGCATGTATTTTAAACATGGTTGAGAATTAAATAATGTTTGTTTGTTCGTAGCGACCTGGACTCCCGCTTCTACCTGGTGGGGTGGGGCTCGTTGCGCGTGCAGTCTGCACGTGCTCTAGACGCGGGCGTGTACACGTGCCGCGCGCACTCCAGGCTGGACTCCACAGACTTCAACACGCAGCTGCACGTGTTGGTCAGTATTGTTTTTTTTTTTTTTATGTATTTGGCAAAGGAAACGAGCTTATGCTGTAGTTCAGGGTAGGCGAACCAATGGCACGCGACATAATCTTTTGGGCACGTCGTCGATCATAAAACTGTTTGAAGAATCTGCCTCATGCTATTTTAACAATATTTCCACCTACCTATGCCTGCGAGTCATTATTTTCAGAGATGAATAACATTAAAAACTCGGTTAGAAACCGTTTGACAGATGAATCCAGTTCAGCATGCATTTTGCTAAAAGTAACATCGTACAAGCCTGATATAAATTATTTGTCATCTAACCTGCAGCAACAGAAGTCACACTAATGTTACAGTAATTTAATTTATGCGTGTAATGAAAACAATCCAAAATGTACCTCTTTTGTTTACTTTATTTCATAGAGAGTTTTGATAGTATTATTTTCCAAATAATCAGAAAGTCAAAATTATTTGATGGCACGTCAATGACCCCATTAAACATTTTTTGGAAAAAATTGCCTATATACATGAATAGCGTTTCGTAGTCTCGATAACATGTGGTTTGGTTGACGCGTATTTTTTTATATATTTTTTTTATTGGGTTGTTTGGGCTATTGTCAGGTTTTTGTAGCACCTGTAGCACTGCGACCTACATAGATCTATTGTGCTCGCCCTTTTTCAGAGTTCGCTACCTAGACCCATCAGGGACAAGAATTGAAGGATATTCTTAGGAGCAATGGTTGGCGAGCTCCTCAGGAAAGAGTGTATACTTTCCAAAGGAGATATTTCGTTTATGCATGAGTGGGCTAGGTTACTCAGTCATTTGGCGCGTGGGACAGTTGAGAGGAGAGTGAGAGAGTGAGGTTAATGAAAGTTGTGGCAATCACTACAAACAGTGCCACCACTGTAGGAACAGGCCGACCAATTCGGGACACTCGCGGCCGCCCGCACGCTCGCTATTTTATAAATATCTCAACTGTACCAATAGGATAACTAGTGTATTCCTTGCAGTTAGTTAACACACACACAGTTCCATCGGCATAAAGTTTTGTGTAGTTTACCAAATGAAACAGCTTTCGATAAGAGGGCCTTTAGAGTAGCACCATAAAAAACCCTGAGATCCTCAGGTCCATACAGATTTAATACATGATGAGATATGTAATATTAATATTAATATTAATATTAAGATATGTAATATTTCAGTTAGTATGGCATTTTAATTTATATTTAGTTTATTCTATTTAACTTTAAAATTATGTATGTAGTTTATGTAAGTGTATCTAGTTTAATATATGAATATTATTGTGTACATAAATTTTAATTCATATAATATTTATTATTATTTTTCTTTATTATCATTATATATTTGTTACCTTTTAGTTTTCTCCTGTTCATGTCATTTTACCTACCTGTTCGATGTTTCAATCCGTTTCCCTAAGGTTGCCTTGAAAAGATTGCTTTTAGCAATAAGGCCGCCTTATTGTAACGATACATGTGTCTTTTGTTATATTGTTTGTGCTTCTTCTTTACTGTACGTTGCAAATAAAGTATATTCTATCTATCTATCTCTATCTAATATTAAATGTAGGATCCACTAATTATGATGACGACTTAGGTCGGATTTCACCAAAGAAACTGATCACGTTTAGTTCGTACTGAACGCCATTAATTTATTATTACATATTATTTTGTAGCTGTGACGTGGTCGTGTGGAATGAGTAGTCATGCTCACTAAAATGTCCAGACATGTGGCGGCGTGGTGGGCCGGGTCATTGGGCTCCCTAAAATATGATAGAGCGCAGTGATGGCTGGCTCATCCGTCATACTCGTGAAACGAGTGCTGCTTGTAGGGACTGGTCTGCTCTTATCACTACGACTGATTTAATCTTATTGCATATTTATATTTGACCCGAAAATTAGTGCTTGTTGGTAGTTTGTATTCACACGTTTCGACTTGTAAATGTAAACTTACAAGGATTATTTAAAAGAGCAACACACAAGTTTCTTGCTCGTTCTTCTTGTGATGAGACAGCTTTCCGAACGAGTGGTAGATAAAAAACAAATTGTTATAACTAATCAAAAGTGCTTAAATTAAGTTTATTTGAATAAATGATTTTCTATTCTATTCTATTCTATTCTTAACATGTTAAACGTGTTCAAAGCTTCATTTTGCATTTCGCCACTACAAATTCCGCTAAACACGTTTATAAATTCTGAACGCCTGATTTCCTACAGTTAACTCTTTAAATTTATTTAAAGCAGCTGTCAGTTGTCAAACAGTCATCAATCAAATTTTTGACAATACAATATCGGGCATAAAAAGAAAATTGCCAGTAATATAAAAAAAAATCCTCAATAAAATATTTTTTTACTAGTTTATAGGTAAAGGTTGTTGTTTTATACTTTGTAGTCGACGGTACTTATTAAATTAAAAATTAAAAAACTTATCCTAATTATCACATGATTGAATTATAAATATTTCTTAGAATTATTTTATTTAAATTACCCATTGCATCGAATATTATTTTATGAGCGTGTAACACTGTGAACGAATGAAAATCTAAACTTCATTTTGATAAACGCGATCTGTATAACGCTGGTGAATTTCATTTAAAGTAAAACGAGATCAACGTCGTTCTTTTTTTCGAGTTCACGCTGAACTCCGTTTCCTTGAACGTATTTATGCTATGATTTGTGAAATCCGACCTTAGACTTTGAAGCCGGATACCGGAAGAGACACCCCAAGTAGCGGATGTGACTTGTGACACGGGTGTAGGTTGATAAAGCCAATTGGTCGTAGCGTAATGTTATATAGCTTAAAGCTATCGACAAATGGACTATTCAACACAAAAATAATTTTTCAATTCGAACCAATCATTTCTGAGATTACCCCGTTCAAACAAACAAACTCTTCAACTTTATAATATTACTATCTACTCGCCCCGGCTTCGCACGGGTGTACATGTATTATACATATAAACCATCCTCTTGAATCACTCTATGTATTAAGAAAATCGCTACAAAATCCGTTGCGTAGTTTTAAAGATTTAAGCATACTGATGGTGACAGGACTATGTACTAGGATCCCTGGTCGTATGGTCGGACGGCGAAGTAAAAATGCTCGGTTGTTTGCACTTAGTAGGAAGGCACCTATCGGGTCGCTGTCTCGCCAGTGAATTTTTTTTTTTTTCGGACTACTCTAATGCTGTTGGCCGTAGCTGGCCTTTACAGCTTCACCGGACGTTATGGGGCGAGTGCAGATGGCACTCCAAACCCGCGGAAGGACTTATGGAGCGGCTGAAGGCCAACTCCTGCCCGACGGATACGACTTTAGTCTGAGGGCACCACTAGGGGTTCGAACCTCGGCTCAGGCCGTCGTAATTTCGATCCCCGTTTGAATTGGACGGGGGATCGATCGGAGAGGACCGCCAGTGAATGCGGACCGCGCTCTTTATATAGACGCCCGACGGGTGGCCTTCCCTACTGCAACTGTACGTTGCGCTTGATTTATTATTATTAACAAAAATGATCTTACTTATATACAAATTTTGCTTATACTAATTATTTATATCTAGGGGAATAAAAGACACTATATTATATATTTTATTGATGATAACTTATTATACTAATTACTTTCTAATTGATTCCGTCGTGTACACATTCATAGAACGGACAGACAGCGACAGCGACTTTGTTTTATGCTATGTAAGAATGTCACTTTTATATCTCAGGAATTTTTCTTATGTCAACGTGTAAATATTATCATTTTAATTCATTTTAATATTCTATTTACTGCTGAATTGGTTCGAATTGAAAAATTCTAAAATGTAATAGACCTACATGAATGAAGATACCTTCAATTTTGAATTTGGATATTGTTTTACAGACCCCACCTCGAGTGCACCTACCATCTGCTCCAGTGGTTACGGCGTACACGCGTGGCGACGTACTGCTACGGTGTGAGGTTCGAGGCCGGCCAACTCCTACAATTACGTGGCTGAAGGACGGGGAGCCGCTCACGCCAAACAACCACGATATATCTATTGTCGATGGGTAATTATTCATTTAATTGATTGCTTGGGGACTGATCTGTTCAAGTTACGAACACTGAATAATTTTTTTTGTTGTTTGTGATAGCATATGCTATATCACTATATTCTCCCAAATTTGAATTTAAATCAATCTGTATTATTGTAAACATGTACAACATTTATTTGAAAAGAATACGAGCTGAGTTTCTTGTCAGTTCTTCTCATCTCGAAATCATTCCGAACTGACTGATTTTCGCATATTCGTCAGATTATGTTATCAATAAAATGATTATGCGTTCCAGAAGTCCTTTCGCGGCTTTAAAGTGCTATTTCTACTCGCCCTTTAAAGTTCGATGAAGCTTTCAAGGCTAGCTGCGCCCAAAAACATTAGATTTGTTCGAAAAAATAAAAAAAAATTCCAGGTAACTCGAGTCAACTCGAGTCATGTTTATTACGAGTTAGCACATCTCTACTGTCTTTCGTGTTGACCTTGTCTACATTTTAATTGCACTGCCCACATACATCTCTGTTTGACGAATGGTTGACTGGGAGAAAATATCTCATGGTGTTAAGTCTGCCATATGCATCTATATGTATTTAATAATAATAAAAACTCTTTATTGCGCATAAAAAAAAATAACAAATAATTACAAAAAATAAAGAAAGAAAAATATGCGAACAAAAGGCGGCCGTATCGCTCAAAGCGATCTCTTACAGACAACCAGGGAGATAAAAGTATTGGAGGGAGAGGTAGGTGGCGCACTAAAGAAGAGAGTTAAATATTATATGAATACTAAATACATATACATATTAAGGTATATATATATAGCCTTGGCCAAAAGTATTAGGCACCCCAGAAAAATGCACAATTCATGTTTACCAATTAAACAATGAATAAATGTTTATCTTAGATGGCACATCGGGGTCATAAATACCTTCTTATAAAAGCAAACATCTATTTTTTATGGTCTTAAAAGACCTGGTGACTGAAAAGAAAGGATTCGATTTTTTGCGTTATTTATTAGTCAATGTTTGGTCACTTGTATTCAAGACTCTAACGAGTAAACAAGTTTTTATTTCTAACTCAGTGATTAAATTGACGCCTAATTTACTTAAAAATACAGAAAATAAGTGAAATTAGTTTGGAAAATCGAGTAAAAATATAAGTTCTCCATGAACAGGGGAAGTCGCAAAAAGAAATTACTAAGTTAGTGAAATGTTCGCGTTGCGCCGTGCAATTTGCCATCATACGGTTTGCTCAGGCTATATAGTATAAAGTATAATTTTATTATAATTTTTATTATTTCAGGCTGTATAATTTAAGTAATATAAATAGTTTTAAAATATAAACGTGTTGGCAGTTAGCTGTAAGTTTATATTGTGTTAATTAAATAAATTAAAAAAAAAAATATATATATATACATATATATATATATAGAGGATAGAGATATAAATATAGAGATATATCTGTTAATAGAGTGTCGGTGTGTGGGTTGCAGGTCGCTGCGCATCCAGGGCGTGCTGGGCGTGGACGCGGGCATGGTGGGGTGCTCCGGGCGCTCCGCGGCCGGGGCGGCGGCGGCGGCGCTGCGGCTAGTGGTGCGTCCGCCCGCACACGGTCAGTACCAGACATACACACATACATTCATTCATTCATTCATGAAAAGTTTTGTTTTAAATTCGCACGGGACTACATGCATTATACATATAAACCTTTCTCTTGAATCGCTCTATCTATTGCTGAAAACTATATTAAAATCCGTTGTATAAATAATTTACATCTATTAAAAAGAGCAACACACAAGTTTCTTGCTCATTCTTCTTGTGATGAATCTGCATTCCGAATGAGTGGTGGAATCAAAATATGACTATTCAAAAGTGCTTGTAATGAATTTATTTGAATAAAGATTATTTCTATTTCTGTTGGGTACTTAAAAAGTTATAAGCTAACAGACAGCGGCGGAGACTGTTTTCACTACATAGTATAAAACAAAGTCGCTGTCGCTGTCTGTCCGTCCCTATGTATGCTTAAATCTTTATAACTACGCAACGGATTTTGAAGCGGTTTATTTTAATAAATAGAGTGATTCAAGAGGAAAGTTTATATGTATAATACATGTACACACGGACGAAGCCGGGGCGAGTAGCTAGTATACTCTGTAAAGTTTTTTTTTTTTAAATATATTTGACTGTTAAATCAAAGACGTAATTTTTTTTTGATTATGTTTTTTTTTTACATTATTTTTATTTCTTTTTTATTTGTTTTTCTCCCTAACCCATATAGAGACCGTCCTCCCAAAACCCACCCAAAAACTTAATACCACCCACATACTAAAAACCCTGATCACCGTCGACGTGGACACCACCGATCCCACCCTCGACTCCAATTTCCTTGGAGAGACCTCCTCAGCCTACACCCCAGTTCCAGACATGTATTATGACGAGGATGTATTTCATGCTGCTGAAGATTTGGATCTGGATGCGTTGAAGAGTAACGCCAGTGTTCTGTCGGAGCCGAGGAACTTCAAAGCGGTGCTGGTGAAGCATAGATTCGTGACGCTGAGCTGGGAGGAGCCGGAACATATAGGGGCGGAGCTGGTCGGTTATGCTGTGATGTACAAAGTGAAAGGCAGCGATCGGTAAGGCATATTCATTTTCTTCATCTCAAATCTTTCTTCATCATCATCACCTGCTTCTTCCTTATCCCATTTATTTGTGGTCGGCGTAGTATGTTTTTCTCTTCTATTCATCCCTGTTCGCAGTCATCTCGTTATTAAATTATTATTTATATGGGAGTAAATTCACTTGGGTGCATATTGCCGTAATCGCCAATTGGTATACGTTTGGGCACATAGCTTGTAGGATAGAAGGCCGTTGAGGCAGTAAAGTCCTCGAGTGGCGACCGCGGATCGGAAGACGCAGCGTGGGATGGCCTCCAGCAAGGTGGACCGACGATCTGGTCAAGATCGCTTTAAATGGTTGATTGCGAGCAGCACACGACCTATCGTCGTGAAAATTTTGTGGGAGGGGGGGTTTGTTCAGCACTGGACGTCTTCCGGGCTGAAATGATGATGATCATTTATTTCAGGCAACTTAATATTACTTAAAAGAATGTTATATATAAAATTCTCGTGTCACAATGTTAGATACCATACTCCTCCGAAACGACTAGACCGATTTTTGTGAAATTGAATGTTTGTATTGTATCGTTATTGTATAACTGCGGTGTGTCAGGGAGCGCGTGTGGCGCGGCGCCGCGAGCCGTCACGAGACCAACGTGCCGGTGCAGCCCGCCACCACCTACCAGTTCGAGCTGCGCGCCGCCGCCGCCGCCGCGCTGTCGCCGCCCACGCAGGTACACCACCAAACAAAAACTGGGCCTAACTTTATCCCCTGTGGAACGCCCTCTTAATATTAGCTCCCTCATACTTTAAACCATAATTATCAAATTCAAATTCAAAAATGATTTATTCATCTAGGACATTTTAGCCGCTTATGAACGTTAATTTATTTATATTATATTTTTTTCCCTACCGTCCTGTTCAGTATATAGATCTAATTGAAGAACTGGCAAGAAACTCAATTGATATTCTTTATTGTAAAACCAGCCTAACATTATGTAAATGAAAATTCCGTGCATGATCAACTATTGCCATGCACGCTCGTCATAGTAATGTTTTAGTGAGTAGAGAAAAAGAGAAATAGGTCTAAGATTGACCCTTGTGGAACGCCCTTCTTAATATTAGCTCTCTCAGACTTTAAACCATCAATATCTACGTCTAGATAAGTTTTCATTGAATTTAGGTCATATCTTATATCATAATGATCGACCGTGTACAACAGTGTTTTATGGTACACGCAATCAAATGCCTTTGATAGATCACAAAGAATTCCGAGTGCATCCTGTGACTTCTATGATTTGAATATATGTGTCAGTAATAGACTAGCCGGCAGTGAAACTATATTGTTGACTGTGAAGCAATCTGTTATCCCTGAAGAGTTGTAAAATTTTATTAAATATAATCTTTTGCACCTTGCTAAGATATTCGCACTTCACATATTCCAGCCTGAACATTTTGATCCTTAGAGCCGGATAAAAAATCTACTCCAATCTGATTATCTCTTGAAGCCTTTAACGGTATTCTTTGGGTGTTCGGCAGACGATAGAAGTGCGGACCCCCGAGGAGGAGTTGGTGTACGGTCCGCCGACGGGGTTCCGCGTGGAGGTGGTGGGGCCGCACTCGCTGCGGGCCGCGTGGGGGCCGCCCGCACCCCTCCCGCACGCCGCGGCCGCTCCCCCGCCGCTTAATTATCACCTGTATTACACTGAGGTATGTTTATTTGATCTTAACGTGCAGAATTAAATAGTCTTGTGTGTACATATTGTTGTTTGAAACTTTATATTTTAGATTTTTTTAAATTAAATACTACGATATAAAATATAAATATTATCTACACAGCAATTGAAATAGTTGTAATTTAAAAGTATACATTAATTCAAAATTGTGTATTTATTGTTTGTCAGAATTTAATATGGTCAACTAGACAAAACATTCTTAGTCCTTCCGAGCCGGATATTTTACTCGTGTCATTTAAAACCATAAATTAGGTAATTCAAAATCGTGAATTTGCTCTCTTTCAGAATTTCATATGGTAAATTAGACAAAAATTTTTTTGGTCCTTCCGAGCCGATTTAATTTTAGGAATAATTTGTATTTTTTTTCTATATTCGTAAATTCCTCGCGGATGTGCAGGTGGACAGCAACCGCGAGCAGGTGCAGGTGGTGGAGGCCGCGGGCGCGGGCCCGGTGACGGCCACTGTGGGCGGCCTGCGCGCCGCCACCGAGTACTGGGTGCGCGCCGCCGCCGTCGGGGGAGCCCCCGCCCGCGACCTGCGCGCGCGCACCGCCGGGGACGTCCCCGCCGCGCCGCCCGCCAACGTCAGCGCCGCGCCCGCCGCCGGGGAGGTCAGTACACACACCACACACCACACACCACACACCACAACCGGGACCTGCGCGCGCGATAGTACCGGCTCTATTTTCAACAACCTTCCACCAACCCATGGCCATTCCAACCTCTCGGTTATACTGGTCGAATCTACGGGGAATTTGCGTTAAAAAGCGCGCACTCTCTTGACTCCTACAATTATATCTATTCCAGTCCCTTGTCGCACTCTTCCCCTTCTGAGGCAGCGGACGAAACTATAATGGCTTCGGTACCGGACAGCACGCCATCTTCAGCAGCATCCTCTCTTCTTGAACGCGTCCCACCCTCAGTCCTCTCGTACTCTGTTTTCAACAGTATTTTAACAGTGGTTGTGGTCGTAGACGATCGTGGTCCGGTGGGAGGCCCCGCCCGCCCGCACGCACCGCGGCCCCCTGACGGGCTACAAGCTGCGCTACCGGCCGCTGGGGGCGGGCCCCGGGGGCGCGGCGGGGGGCGCGGGGGGCGCGGCGGGGCGGCGCCGCGCGGGGTCACTGACCACGCCGGCAGACGCGCGCCGCGCCGAGCTGCGTGACCTCGACACCGGTACCACTTACCAGGTAACCATCTTTTTTATTTAGGGACAATTGTATCATGCCAAACCCGTATCGGTGACTTTAAACCTTCGTATTCGCAAGTTGAAGTGGCAGTGGACTGGTCATATCTGTCGCAGAACTGATGTTCGCTGGAGTAGACCTGTTCTAGAGTGGAGATCGCGAATTGGCAAACGCCGTAGTAGTGTAGGACGCCCCGCAGTTAGGTGGAGCGACCACAAACGTAGGGTTGCCGGTAGTAACTGGCTGAACATCGTGCCCAGTGGCGTGCCTTGGGAGACGCCTATGTCCAGCAGTGGACTGCAGTGGGCTGATGATGAAGGTATATAAGTTTAAGTTACGTTTTTAAAAAGTTTTGTTCACACAAACTTACAGATTCGTGTGTGCGCGATCAACGCGAACGGTTCAGGGCCGTTCAGTGAGTGGGTGACGGCCACCACCTTACAGCAGCTCCTCGACGAGACCAGGGTGCCTGGCAAGCCGCCGCCTCTCACCAGTAAGAATTTTTTTATATAATAGTAATAATATCTCCGGACAATTCACACAGCGCCATCTAGTCCCAACCTAAGTGGAGCTCGTGTTATGGGTACTAAACAACTGGTATAAATATAGATATACTTTTGTGAATCCAACTTCACTGGTTGTTTCATTTATTTAATTTCAAAGGCGCTGTGGTAGTCCTGAGTTTAGTGTCGGACTGATTTTTGGTCCTTCGAGCCGGATGCCGATCTACTCAAGTATTGGTGGTAAAATGGTTGAAGATAGAACCTAGTAGATAGACCTCTAAAAATTTTGGTTAGTTATGTAACGGCTTTATTTCCTAGCTCGCGCGGGCCGCGACTGCAGAGTTTAGTGTCGGACTGATTTTTGGTCCTTCGAGCCGGATGCCGATCTACTCAAGTATTGGTGGTAAAATGGTTGAAGATAGAACCTAGTAGATAGACCTCTAAAAGATTTTAGTTATTTATGTAACGGTTTTGTTTGGTAGCTCGCGCGGGCCGCGACTGGATCTCTGTGTGGTGGTCGGAGGAGGGCGAGGACGGCGGCGGGGGTGGCGGGGGTGGCGGGGGCGGCGGGGGCGTGGTGGTGCGCAGCTACTGGCTCGGCTGGGGGCTCGGGGTCCCCGACGACCACTCGCGGCAGCTCGCCGCGCACCACCGCTCGCACGTTATACGCGGACTAGGTGAGTCAGGCGGATACTTATCATCTACTCTCACTGCATTTTATTGCATTTGGACTGAAAACAAACTGACCAATTGGCTTATGATAAATGGTTATTCTCGCCTATCCGATACACATTTTACAGAGTAATCTTTTCGGCAGCAGACTTTGGTGGTCACACTATATTTGTACAGAGCACTTTGTACAGCACACGTTGTATTTTTGATACTTTTCTAAGAAGCAGAAGAAAATGGTTTTGGCTATGACCGCAATATCACTCGTATGAAGTTTATAGTCTACTAGCTACTCGCCCGGCTTCACCCGGGTGTACATGTATTATACATATAAACCTTCCTCTAGAATCACTCTATCTATTAAAAAATAACCGCTTCAAAATCCATTGCGTAGTTTTAAAGATTTAAGCATACATAGGGACGGATAGACAGCGACAGCGACTTTGTTTTACACTATGTAATGATGAGTGATTCTGATATATAAGCTAACGTTTCATTAAAATCCACTCAAGAGTTTTTGTGTCCGTGTTTATAATATTTGTAAGACTTCGTGACAAGTGGAATGGGATGGTGTATGATACATGATACACACGGGATGTGATTTGCTCCTTAGAACCGAACTCAGAGTACGTGATATCGCTGCGCGCTGGCAACGCACTGGGCCTAGGCCCGCTGGTGTATGCGACTGTACGCACGCGGCCCGCCGCCGCCGAGGGCGACGACCCCGGCCTGGGGGACGACGACGGGGGCGACGGGGGCGACGGGGACGGGGACGGGGACGGGGACGACGAGGACGAGCCCCCGCCGCTCATACCGCCCGTCGGGCTCAAGGTATACAATTCAAAATTCAAAAGTCATTTATTCATGTAGGTTATTTTAGCCGCTTAGGAACGTTAAATTTTTTATATTATATGTTTTTCTCTACCGTCCAATTCAGTATATAGATCCAATTGAGAAGAACTGGCAAGAAACTCAATTGAATTACTTATTTTTTTAATACTCGATTTTATGAGCTCAAAGGCTCGAAGGACCAATTTTCTTTAACCGACGATAGTTACTAAACATACAGCGTATCTGATGGTAAACGGTTACCGTAGTCTATTGAAACACGAGGTGTCGATGCTCTAATAAATTTTATTGGATCAGGAACTAGAAGGCTCGAAGGACCAATTTTTGGATTGTTTTAGTTTTTCTAATAAACTAAATCTTGTAAAACCCGGAGTTTCGTTAGTTCATGGTATTTTTTTTTTATTGTATTACAGGCTATAATGTTGAGTGGTACTACTGCTGTTCTGTATTGGACGGACCCCACGCTAGCTAAGGGACAGGTCTGTATCTTACTAATATTATTGTTAATCTTATAAGTTTGATACTAAAGAATACAGCCGAGATGTAATTGTTGATACATAATGCGCTTTTAGTTGCTTTTACATAAATCTATATTTTCTATTTTTTTTTTCATCATTACTTATACTATTTGATATGTTTGAGAAATTATTTTTTACTAGCTGGGCCCGCGGTTTTACCCGTTACACATTACATATACATTACATTTCAATAAAAAGTATAGCCGATGTGTTATTCTGATGCAAAAGGTATATTACTGTAAAGTTTCATCAAAATCCGTTTAAAAGTTTTTGCGTGAAAGAGTAAGAAACAACAACTTATAAACTTTCGCGTCTATAATATTATTAAGATGTGTATCTCTGTCTCCCTATTACTTTCTTTGGAAGCTGCAGTAAGCTTTTCAGAATGTAGAGTGCTATAAAGCAGAGAAATTACATGCTACAACGGCACCGTAGTCTTCAGGAGTTGACGAGAGAATATTAGCAGTTCACTTCATGTGCGATTAGCTGGCTTGTGTAGAGATGAGAGGTCAATATACGTGTGGTGCATTGTCAGACGGCGACGGACGGTCGACGGTACGTGGTGCGGTGGGCGGCGGCGGGCGCAAGGCCGCGGTACTTCAACGCTTCAGACCTCAACTGCATGCTGGACGACCTGAGGCCCTACACCACCTATGAGTTCGCCGTCAAGCTCATCAGAGGTATTACAGGTTTCTCCTTCGACGGCTCAGACCTCGACTGCATGCTGGATGATCTGGGGCTCTACACCACCTAAGAGTTCACCGTCAAGCTCATCAGAAGTTTTCGAGGTCTCCAACTATCCGTCCCTAATACCACTGATTTTTTTAAAATTGTTTAAAATGTTCTAAAAAGATCTACCAAAGAGTGGTACTTCCTTCTAAATAATTTTGTGTGAAATTTTTACCTATTAACTACAACCATTCGCCATTAACTGTCGTGGGATCCCATTTTTATAAGTAACTCGTCTTAGTCCCAATCTAATTACGAGTCCGTTAAATTTGTATATAAACAAAAATGTTGTATTGTATGTAGAAGTTTTTCCAAAGTGATGTATGATTGATTGTGTGCGTGGCGGCGTGCAGGCGGGCGCGAGTCGTCGTGGTCGATGTTGGCGAGCAACACGTCGCTGGAGGCCGCGCCCGCGTCCCCCCCGCGGGACGTGCGCGCCGCCCCCGCGCCGCCCCCCGCCGCCCCCGCGCGCGCCCTCGACCTCTCCTGGGGGCCGCCCGCGCGCCCCAACGGACGCATCACCGGCGAGTCTCACTCTCACACTCTCACACTGCTCCGGCTCGACGGACCATTGCACGCTGGTCCTTCGAACCGGATACACAATTTTCAATTTTAGTTGTTATCTATTCATTTTAATGTAGATTACATGTCGCTGAATTCTGTCAGTAAAGTATTCGCATGAGAGATTGTTTTGGTCACTTTATTCTATTGACTGAAATATGACGCAAGTTATAGTTATGCATAACTGACGTATGATCAGTGTTTGACCTTGTATATGTTTTGTGTACGTCTGGTGGTATGATTCAAAGAATTAATAATTATCAGTTCTTCCAGCTTCACATACAATGGATTAATTACACTAGACGAACGTTATTTATATGTCTGTCGGTTTGTGGTACAAAAAAATATTGTGGTATAATAATTAACTGGTCCTCCGAGCCGGATTGAAAACAGTATCTAGATTCTGTCCGTCGATCTGTGTTATAATATTGATCCTTCGAGCCGGATTTTGACCAATATCATAACAGTGTGTGTATGGTGTGACAGGATACGTGGTGACGTTCGCGGTGCAGCGCGGCGGCGGCGAGGAGTGGGCGGCGCTGGCGGCGGCGGGGGAGCGCGCGCGGCTCGACAGGCTGCGGCCCCGCACCGCCTACCTGCTGCGGGTGCAGGCCCGCACCGCGCGGGGGCTCGGCCCGCCCTCCGCGCCGCTGCTGTACACCACGCCGCCAGGTCAGGGCACCACTCCCACCTCCACAGTACTCGCTCCTCACCGCCTACCTGCTGCGGGTGCAGGCCCGCACCGCGCGGGGGCTCGGCCCGCCCTCCGCGCCGCTGCTGTACACCACGCCGCCAGGTCAGGGCACCACTCCCACCTCCACAGTACTCGCTCCTCACCGCCTACCTGCTGCGGGTGCAGGCCCGCACCGCGCGGGGGCTCGGCCCGCCCTCCGCGCCGCTGCTGTACACCACGCCGCCAGGTCAGGGCACCACTCCCACCTCCACAGTACTCGCTCCTCACCGCCTACCTGCTGCGGGTGCAGGCCCGCACCGCGCGGGGGCTCGGCCCGCCCTCCGCGCCGCTGCTGTACACCACGCCGCCAGGTCAGGGCACCACTCCCACCTCCACAGTACTCGCTCCTCACCGCCTACCTGCTGCGGGTGCAGGCCCGCACCGCGCGGGGGCTCGGCCCGCCCTCCGCGCCGCTGCTGTACACCACGCCGCCAGGTCAGGGCACCACTCCCACCTCCACAGTACTCGCTCCTCACCGCCTACCTGCTGCGGGTGCAGGCCCGCACCGCGCGGGGGCTCGGCCCGCCCTCCGCGCCGCTGCTGTACACCACGCCGCCAGGTCAGGGCACCACTCCCACCTCCACAGTACTCGCTCCTCACCGCCTACCTGCTGCGGGTGCAGGCCCGCACCGCGCGGGGGCTCGGCCCGCCCTCCGCGCCGCTGCTGTACACCACGCCGCCAGGTCAGGGCACCACTCCCACCTCCACAGTACTCGCTCCTCACCGCCTACCTGCTGCGGGTGCAGGCCCGCACCGCGCGGGGGCTCGGCCCGCCCTCCGCGCCGCTGCTGTACACCACGCCGCCAGGTCAGGGCACCACTCCCACCTCCACAGTACTCGCTCCTCACCGCCTACCTGCTGCGGGTGCAGGCCCGCACCGCGCGGGGGCTCGGCCCGCCCTCCGCGCCGCTGCTGTACACCACGCCGCCAGGTCAGGGCACCACTCCCACCTCCACAGTACTCGCTCCTCACCGCCTACCTGCTGCGGGTGCAGGCCCGCACCGCGCGGGGGCTCGGCCCGCCCTCCGCGCCGCTGCTGTACACCACGCCGCCAGGTCAGGGCACCACTCCCACCTCCACAGTACTCGCTCCTCACCGCCTACCTGCTGCGGGTGCAGGCCCGCACCGCGCGGGGGCTCGGCCCGCCCTCCGCGCCGCTGCTGTACACCACGCCGCCAGGTCAGGGCACCACTCCCACCTCCACAGTACTCGCTCCTCACCGCCTACCTGCTGCGGGTGCAGGCCCGCACCGCGCGGGGGCTCGGCCCGCCCTCCGCGCCGCTGCTGTACACCACGCCGCCAGGTCAGGGCACCACTCCCACCTCCACAGTACTCGCTGCCTCACCGCCTACCTGCTGCGGGTGCAGGCCCGCACCGCGCGGGGGCTCGGCCCGCCCTCCGCGCCGCTGCTGTACACCACGCCGCCAGGTCAGGGCACCACTCCCACCTCCACAGTACTCGCTCCTCACCGCCTACCTGCTGCGGGTGCAGGCCCGCACCGCGCGGGGGCTCGGCCCGCCCTCCGCGCCGCTGCTGTACACCACGCCGCCAGGTCAGTGTCAGAATTTCGACTCGCTCTTCACTGCAGGCCTCCGCTAAGGCCCCACTGCGCCCGCGCATCACCTACCGCCGCCAGTACAGGCTTGACCCGCTCTCCGCGCCCTTGTTCCAAAAAGATTATTTTAACCTTTAAACTTACGACTATCACAAATTTATCGAGTTCATTACTTTTAGCACATTAATCTCGTCACTCTCCTTATCCTTGAAAACTAATTCAGATCTTTAATTTGTACATCCTTCCATTTTCCGTCAATAGATTTGATATCTACTCAACTGGCAATATTGCTAAAGTAATATTATATAAAAAATGATGAATGATTGTACATCCCGCTCCCAAACTCCACCAAAATTAAGAATTAAGTATTAACGTCATGGATAATTTTCAGTCGTGTAGCTGCTCTAAATCGATCTGAATGTATATGTCGTATGTTGTGGCAGACTCCGGCGAGGGCGGTGGGCTGGCGAGCGCGACGTCGGCGTGGCTGTGGGCGAGCGCGGGCGGCGCGTGCGCGGTGCTGGCGCTGGCGGCCGCGCTGGCGCTGTCGCTGTGCTGCCGCCGCTCGCAGCCGCCGCTCTCACCCGACACCAGGTACCCTCACACCCTCACACCCTCACACCCTCACCAGCACACCAGGCTGCCGTCACTGTCATATACCTGCATTGGACTGCCGTCACATTTTTGTTTAATCTTTTTTTTTCAGCACGTACCAGAAATCGTCAGCATCGGCGGCTATCAAACCTCCAGACCTTTGGATACACCACGACCAGATGGAATTGAAACACATGGACAAAAGTCTGCACAGCTCCGCTAGTAAGAGTACGGCTTTGTTATTTATATGTTATTCATATGTTGTTATATATATGTAACTTTGCGTATAGTTTATTGATTTGATAAAAAAAAATTTAATGTTAGAGAAAATAAAGTATACATTAAAAATTTTGTATTTTAGAAGAACAAAAACAATTAGCGTAAAAATTAAAAATAAACATTAACATATGGTCTTAATATAAAGATTTGCACCCTTGTATGTGCACTGAATAACATAATATTTAATATTGCTAAAATTTATACATACTGTATTCTACAAATAAAGTATTTGATTGGATTTAAAAATTTAAGATATACCTTTGATAACTTTTAAAATTTCTAAGAACGATTGCAAGCTTGAATCAAACGAAGCGTATAATCAATTTTTTATTTTTATTTAACAACAGTTAAGCTGTAAAATGTATAAGAACTGCTATAGCAAGATTAGATGCAAAAAAAAACAAATCAGATTCCCATTTATACGATACTAGCTACTCGCCTCGACTTCGCCCGGGTGTACATGTATTATACATATAAACCTTCTTGAATCACTCTATGTATTAAAAAAACCGCTTAAAAATCCGTAGCGTAGTTTTAAAGATTTAAGCATACATAGGGACGGACAGGCAGCGACAGCGACTTTGTTTTGTACTATGTAATGATTAAACGTTCGGTGGTGATATAAAAGTATTGTTCGCGCAGTGTCGGCCGGCAGCACTGAGGGCAGCGCGCTGGCAGCCTCCACGCTGACTCTAGGCCGCTCGGGGGGCGGCGGAGGCGGCATGGGGGGCGGAGGGGGGCTGGGGGGCGGGGCGGCGGAGTACGAGCCCGCGCGGCACCCCCCGCCCGCGTCGCTGGCCTCGCTGGCCTCGCTCGACCGCCGCCACTACGTACCCACATATGTCGGTCAGTCCATGTCGCTCACTCGGCACGAACGATTCGTTCACTGTTCGGTCATTCGTTCAATTCGTCGTTCTTTTTATTTTTTATTTATTAATGATTTTTATTTCATGATGATGAATATATATATATATATCTTAATTTGAAGGAATAGAATAGAAAATCCTTTATTCAAATAAACATAATTTAAGCACTTTTGAATAGTCATAACAATTTTTTTTAATTTATCTCTCGTTTGGAAAGCTGTCTCATTAAAAGAAGAACGAGCAAGAAACTTGTGTGTTGCTCTTTTAAATAATCCTTGCTTTTAATTATTTTTAAACTTTCGTGTTTAATATGCATTATTTAAATTTTTCACCGGCTCTTAACACGAACTAATTTATAGCAAATAAAAGTATTTACCTATGGGGCACTAATTTATTAGGGTCAAATATAAAGACACAATAAAATTAAATCAGCCGCAGACCAGTTCCTACAAGCGGTTATCGACCACGAGTATGACGGATGAAGGAAACGCTCTTATGACATTTCATATATATTATCATTAATTACCGAATTTAGTTTTATTGACAATATTGTTTTTGTTTGTTAGTTTACGTTTGTTTTATTTATTATTTATTTGTTTTATTATTTTGAGTTGTATTTGGTTGCGTAAAGACTCCCGGCGGTCGCCGTCTCGCGCGGACAGCGAGGAGAGTGCGGTCCGCTCGTCTGCGACGCGGTGCGAGCGGTACGAGCGGTACGAGCGGTGCGAGCGCTCGGACCGCTCAGACCGCTCGGACCGCTCGGACCGCTGCGAGCGGTGCGAGCGCTACGACTACAGACGTGAGACACCGGTTTTCTTTTTCTTGATTTTTTTTTATTTATTTGGTCCCATTTTCATATTTGTGTTTTTATTTTAAAGGTGTAAATTAGAGGTAGCTTTGTAATTGCCTTGAGTTGTGTTTTGGTTTCAGTTTGGAAGATAATCTATTAAAGAGAATAAAATTTAGCTGTTCGGTATGTTATCGTACAACCGGCAACATTTTAAACCTCTCCACATCTATATAACACCCTAACATACGGTTTTTCCTTCAGTATACACAAGCGAGCATCAGTCCCCACAATCAATAATCAGTCCAAACACAAACATACGTGTACTCAATAAATCAAGTTATCAAGTAATACGAAACATCATAGCATTGTATGTGTCAAACTCATACATTTTTATGGTCCTTCGAGCCGGATTGATACAATATATTGTTTAGGGAAAACATTAGTTTCAAATATCAGAATTAAATATTAATTTCGCCGAAGTATACTTTATAAAAATAATATGCCTCTACTTTTTTTTACCGGCAAACAATGCTCTATTTCGATATTTAGCAGTGAAATTACAAGTTGATAGAGAAAACATGTTACTCCTCCAGAATGACAAGTTCTACATTATTTATATAACAAGACTTTCTAGTTTGTTATACATAAAAAATATATAATAAAACTCCACTTGTCCAATATCCTACTCCAAAACTACAATGTCATATCTCTCTCTCCCTCTCCCCCCCTTCTCTAACCCTCTCTCTCTCTACCTCTCAGTGTGAATGATAGAGGAGCATGGAGACATGACACATGATAGCATAACTGTCCCTACCTGAGGGGAAAGGAGATTGTTAGGAATATGGACTTATTACCAGATTTCTAGCTTTGAAGTAAGGTTAGGTTAAGATACCTTAATAAAAAATTCCTTTTGTATTTGTCATGGTCATGGTCATTAACCTGACCTCATGTTCATCTTATCATCCTTCATTGGTGCCCCACCAGAGTAAACAATACATTGTCGTTCATAAAAAAAATCTGTCTACAGCAATGACGGGCGTGGGCGCAGGCTGCGCGGCCACCTGCGAGCGACGCCCGAGGCACGCGCTAGTCGACCAGGTACGTGTTCTATTGACTACCCTTCATACTGACTCCCAAAAATTATGGGTCACTTTCATATGGCTCCCAGATAGAGATACATTTTATTTTGTTATGTATTGGACAATAGAAAATAGACGAAGAAAAATGTTAGGACACTTGATACGGCACAATGGATTTATGAAAATTTTTATTAAGGGAAATATAGAAGGAAAGAGGAAGAGGGTAAAGACCAAGGTATTCATACTTTAAGCAAATTAAAGACAAAATTGAAGTCGACTTATCAACATTGAAAAAGTATGGTTCTTACATAGATAATACTTTTATTTTTGTATTAAAAGCATACACACTATTTATAAAATTTTTACTTAAAAGTAAATCTGTAGGAAATATTGGCACCTCCAGTTAGAAGTAATGTTTGGTATGAAAGACCTATTAGTAACTAGTGTATGTGAGCTACCTTTAGTTACCTTTGCAGAGCACCCCGCTGCTGGCGGGCGTGGCGCCGCTAGGGTCCCCGCAGTCGTCTCTACACCAACAGCATCCGCTGCATCCGCATTCGCATCCGCAACATCCGCCGCCCGCGCCCTGTGAGTCTCGAACACTATCATTTATTATATTTAGTGTTAAAATAACTTAAAATAGGTCGCTGGTTCAAATCCGGCTCGAAGGACCAAAATGTGAAAGAGACCAAGACGAGACGAGGAAAGAAGAAGGTACCGGTCTAATACCGGTCTGCAGAATATTATATTGATTTATGTCACAAGTAAAATTATATAGTATCGCAACTCTCGAGGATATATGAAATGGATGATGTCAGTATATAATTAATAATAATTGTAATAACTTATTCGTCTCCAGTCTCAACGTTTTCAGCCTCTAAGATGTTTGCTCTGTAAGATGTGTACTCGTTTTTAGGAGATTAGATAGGCAGATTCATTTTGGAAATACATACATACAAAAATTTACATAGAAATCACCCATACCAATATAAAGAATCATACTTATGAATAGAAATGTTTGTACCGCACGAGGAATCCAACCTGAGAGCATCGGAAGTAAAGCGCTGTGCTACTAGCTAACCGCTAGACTACTGAGATAGTATGTAAATTAAAAAGTATAAATCTGATAAGTGAAAAAAAAAAACTTTACAATGCAATAACGTATGATAAAGGAGGTTAAGAATGATTACTGTTTTGCAGGCGGGTCGGGGTCGTGTCCGCTGGGGGCGGCGTGCGCGGCGGCGGGCCCCGGGGGCCCCGCGGGTCCCGGGGGCCCCGGGGGTCCGCCGGGTCCGCCCGGGGGCGCGGGCCCCGGCGGGGACATCTACGCGTGCGCGGCGCGCGAGCGCGGACACTACGTCGCCTACGAGCCCCTCGGACACTACACGCAGTCAGTACCACCACCATTCACCACCCTCTACACTCCGCATTCCTCATACACTCCAGCATTTAAAATTGAGCTTTCGTACCTTGTGTTTCGGACTAATTCTGCTTTATTACTGTTCATCACAGTTAGGTTTTATAAGTTTAATAGATGGAAATGTAATGGAGTGCAGTAGATAATTCAAACTCCCAGAATTAGTATAGATATGATAAGATTGTCGTAGTTACACTTTGTGTACAAAAATTCCAGAAAAAATATAGAGAAAAAAATTAACTAACTAACTTCTGACTGACGGATACGACTCTATTCTAAGGTTAGTGGTTCGAACCTCGATTCAGGCCGTCGTAATTTCGATCCCCCGCCTAATTCAAATCAGAGAGATAAACTACGACGTGAAGTGGCCGATGTCTGCCGGAACTCAAATGTAAAGTTTTAATGAGAGTGTGTGTGCATTGCAGCCGCGAGTCCGTGAGCAGCGAGGCGGGCGCGGGGGGCGCGGGCGGTGTGGGGGGTGTGGGGGGCGGCGCGGGGGGCGGGGGCGCGGGGAGCGGCGGCAGCTCGCTGCAGCGCGCGCGCGGCCTGCACAGCTTCGCGCTGCACGACGCCTCGCTGCACTCCTCGCCGGCGCACTCGCGCGGTACGTACCCCCCGGCACGTTCTAGAACCTTCTACAACCTTCTAGAACCGCTCCACTCTATCGCCGCGGCCTGCACAGCTTCGCGCTGCACGACGCCTCGCTGCACTCCTCGCCGGCGCACTCGCGCGGTACGTACCCCCCGGCACGTTCTAGAACCTTCTACAACCTTCTAGAACCGCTCCACTCTGCACGACGCCTCGCTGCACTCCTCTATAACTTTCTAGAAAGTTCCAGAACCCTAACTGACAGTATGGAGTGTGAACGGATAGTGTATTAATTAAGATAGTATGCAGCGGTTCTAGAACGTTCTAGAACCTTCCAGAACTGCTCCGCACTATTCTGCACACTTATCATTAAGCTGTGATTGCGTTTAACAGAATGGCTTCGATTTAACAGATCTGCAGGTCTGTGGTAAAAACCTAACTTAACTTATATACAATTGAGTTTCTAGTAACTTCTTCTCAACTGAAGTAACTATGCGACCTGGACGATAGGGAAAGTAATCTATACATATAAATAAAATTGGAGTGTCTGTTTGTAATATTGAAATAACCGTTTTTTACTACATGCATATGAATATAAATACACCAAAATAACATTTTTTGTCTGTCTGTCTGTCTGTCTGTCTGTCTGTCTGTTTGTTTCGGCTAATCTCCGAAATGGCTGGACCGATTTTAACGGAACTTTTTTTGGCAGGTAGCTGATGTAATAAAAAGTAACTTAGGCTACTTTTATTTTAGAAAAATAAAGATAAAAAATGTCGCCAGTACAGCTAGTAGAATATATTTATTAGAACTATCCATATACATGCATAAATGTAATTTGAATTTTGAAAATCACCAGCAGGTAGCGTGAGAGAGACGTCCCCGTACAAGAAGAGTGCCAGTTCATCTCCCGGACACATACCCAATAGACTGCAGCTCGGTAAGTATGATTATGAGTAACCATTGTTCATTCCCTCATTTTTTTTTTGTAACAAACATATATCCATATAATATTAATAAGATTCAGTTATACTTTCAATGATTCAATCATTTTATAAGTCAAACATCATTGGTAGTTCTTTCTAATCCGTTACAACTCATTTGTTACCTATATTCAGTTTGAAAGGTGGAATATGTATGACGGTCTACTTCCGATGGTCGCGGGTTCGATTCCTCGCACTTGACTTCAGCTACTCATATTTCGAATCGTACACTTACGATTGAATATCTAAATATATATAACTCAAAGGTGACTGACATAGTGATCTATCAACGCACAGCCCAAACCACTGGACGGATCGGGCTAAAATTTGGCATGCAGGTAGATGTTATGACGTAGGCATTCGCTAAGAAAGGATTTTGATTAATTCTACCCCCAAGGGCATAAAATAGGGGATGAAAGTTTGTATGAAACTTTGTCAATTTTAAACCGATAGGGCTGAGACTTTGCCTGCATAAAGCTACTATGACGTAGGCATCCCCTAAGAAAGGATTTTGATAAATTATACCCCTAAGGGGATAAAATAGGGGATGAAAGTTTGTACAAATCTTTGATTTTCGAATGATTGAACTGAAATTAAACATTGGAGCAACTATGATTGGAGACATTCGCTTAAATAGGATTTTGATAAATTGAACCCCCATGGGGATAAAATAAGGGATGATGCAGGATGTAAATGTATTAGTTTGAACCTATCAGTACCTTTTTTTTTTTACTTGGAGAAAATCCGTCATGGAGACCCGCCGGCCCCGGGGGAAGCCCGCGGGTACTGTGAGACTCCTACTCACTAAAAACTAGTACCTAATGGAACGAATAAATTAAGACGAATAAAATAATCTTTAGGGTACTTTTATTTTAGAAAAATAAAGTTAAATTCCACGCGGACGAAGTCGCGGTAACAGCTAGAGATATCATATAATATGAAAAAAAAAATCTATGTATGTGTATAGATGAATCGTCACCTATACACATATAAATAAAATAAATCATTTATGGATGGCTGGATGGAAGGTCCATCAGGTGGGCCGTTAGCTCATTTGTCATTACTGATTAATGAAATTTAATAAATTCCATCAGGTGGCGGCGTACCGCACTGCGCTGAAGAATTAGAACCCCTGACCCCGTCGCGGTCCACCGAGCGGCTGCACCGCGAGATGCAAAACCTCGAGGGTCTCATGAAGGATTTGTCGGCCATCACGCAGCAGCAGTTCCATTGCTAGTGCCACCTGAAGCCTCGCCAGCCGTGTGTGAACGAGGTGACGCAAACAGACAATCGGGTGACGCAGGCGGACCAGTGGTACCAAAGTCGTATGCGGGCAATTCAGCAAGAATACCGTAAGATGGATCGTAGTAATGCAGTAACGCGGGATCGTCTAGTAAATCCGGTTAATCAAGTGACGCAACAGGAACAAAGAGTGACACAGCAGGAACAAAGAGTGACGCAGCAGGAACATAGAGTGACGCAGCAGGAACATAGAGTGACGCAGCCGGAGCAGTGGTTACCAGCGTCCGACTGCCAAGCGTGTATATGTGAGTGCATGTCAGAATTCACGGTGAACTATACCGGGTACAGCCAGGCGAGCGTACTTGACTATCGTAACGAAACGGACCAGTACTCGTGCGAGTACTGTTCAAGTGCGTACCAGTCGGACATGTCCTACAGCGGCGCCAGCACGTCCGATTATATTATGAACATGTCCGAACACGTCAGTGACCAAGTTAAGTGCAATTGTGCTGTTACGCTTAGGATATAAAATGTACGAACGATTATATACTAAAAGATTAGAACAAAATAGTTAAATATACGCATTTGTGATGAAATTTATGACTTAATGACAACTTAACCATGTTTTTTAATGGGTGGTAATGGATATAGTGTTTTTTAAATGCACGCAGCGTTTATATTTGTAAAAAATAAACGTTTTTTTCATATGTTCCTTATATATTAAACTAAAGTGTTTTGACACGTTGAAGACCGATTCAAAAATCTTATTTATCACATAGGGACTGGCATTTTTTTTATTGTTTACTACCTGTACACGCGTCTTCGTCCGCGTGGAATTTTATTTTATTTTTCGAAAATAATAGTAGCCTAAGTTACTCTTTATTACGCCTGCCTATAAAAGTTTCGTCAAAAACGGTTCAGCCATTTCAGAGATTAGCCGGAAGGTAGCCTTAGGTAGATCCGCCCCTGCCTAGTTTGAATGAATAATGTCCTTTTGATTTTAAATACTTCATTTCAATATATAAGGATGCCTGTATAAAAATTACTAGTCATGTATTCCACTATATAAGGTTTAGTATGCTCGCCGCCCGGCGTTGCTTACGGTACCAAGGTTTATACTACTTTCATAGATTTCTTACTATTGTATTATATATATAAAAAATTTTTTGATACAATTCCTAATTTGTACGAAAATATTAACGTTTCAAGATACAATATTGTCAAATGATATGTTCGATATGATATCGGTAACTGATTTTTGCATTTATATTGTTAGAAACACAAAGGTTGGTAATAATTTTAATAGGTATCATATATGAAGTAGTTTTGTAACTATATATATGGGAATTTAATATATTTGCTATGGTTTTGACTATCGCGATATTAGACGGCGCCGCTAGTCTAGCGGTGTAGTACGCCTTACTACGCTGGTCGCAGGTTCGACCACGGCACAAACATTTGTATTCATGAGTATGATTGTTTGTATCGGTCTGGGTACTGAAATTTTTACAGTACTTAAGAATACCTCAGTGGTCTGGACAGAACAGTACAGGACGGCCTCGGTGGTCTAGCGGTGGTCTATATAAGTGTTTGATTTGTAATAATTGAAATAAATGTCTTATCTATCTACCTACCAAGACTTCTGAATTAAGTAGAAATAACTGTCGCAAATATAGTATAAGCGTGTAATGCGTATGAATGAAGATCATATCCTAAAGGTGTTACATATTAATGTGGATGGTTATAAAGGCAGAGGAAGGCCGAAAAATAGATGGATGGACTGTGTGAAAGATGATATGGTAAGAAAGGAAGTAATAACGAGATGACTGCGAACAGAGATGAATGGAAGAGAAAAATATTACGACGACCACAAATAAATGGGATAAGGAAGAAGCAGATGATGATGAACTGTCGTAAATGACAAAATCTTAGTCAGGTTTATTAAATTTCCGTACATACTTATAAAAATGTTAAGTTGTAAAAATGAACATAACTTATAATATGCTCAGCAAGTAACAAAATATTTACTTCATTTTTCAATATTTAAACAATATTGTTGTAAGTCTGATAAATTTACATTAAAAGTATTGTGTAAATATTTTAATTGTATTCTTAAAAGTAGGTTACTAAAATGTCGCAGTTTTTGTTTTAAAATACCGTAAAATCACATTTTTACATACACCCGCCTGCGCTAACGGTATACGCTGGCAGCACCAGTGGAGGATGATAACATGAGCATGAGGTCAGGTCAGTTAGCACATCGTGACATATTCAACAGGAATTTATCACGATGGCTTCCAGGGGGAACCGGGTGGAGGTCAACCTGACATGGTACATTGCTAGCAATAGCTTTAACAAAAGTTCTGTCTTTTTCTAACATACGATCTATTTTGTTAAACAGAAAGTGAAGCAGAAAGAAACTGTTGCATATATTTTAGTAATCTATTAATTGTAATTTTGTTGTTCTAGTGTAAAAGAAATTGTAAGTTACACTCGTACACTTACAATTTGTAATTCGTGACTTACAATGCTCACTCAGGGCGGGTATATTGCACTTAATTGTAAATATTTTGTAACAATTCATATATTTAAGATTACAATTTATGTATGTATTACATATGAATTTTTTATATTGTGTAAAGTGGAATTGACCGAAGATATGATGAGCAACGGTTTATTTTATATATATATATATAACTTTAATATACAAACACGCAAAAGGTGCACATGGCTGTGTGTTATTCTGATACTAGCTGTTCCCGCGACTTCGTCCGCGTGGAATTTAACTTTATTTTCCTAAAATAAAAGTAGCCTAAGTTACTTCTTATTACATCAGCTACCTGCCGAAAAAAGTGCCGGCAAAATCGGCAAAGCCATTTCAGAGATTGGCCAAAACAAACAGACAGACAAAATTTATAAAAAATGTTATTTTCGTGTATGTATCGTATTTATATTCATATGCATGTAGTAAAAAACTGTTATTTCAATCTTGAATCACTCTATCTATTAAAACCGCTTCGAAATCCGTTGCGAAGTTTTAAAGATTGTTCAGCATACATAGGGACAGACAGACAGTGACTTTGTTTTATACTATGTAATGAAGTAAGGATTAAGATGCACCATCGCGGTCATTTCTTCAGTTAATTCCCGTATTTTAATCTCAGTCCTTCCATAGTTTTCATTGTACCATGCCCTTGTAAATATATCTTATTTAATAATAATTTGTAAGTATATATATGTAACAATTTGTAAGTCTGACCCATTGTAAGTACAGTTACAATAAACTTTATGTTTACAGCGATAAACGGGCCAATTGTAAAGTATGTCACACTAAATTTATGGTCACGTCACAGTCGGTCACATTTGTGACCATTTCCCTACCTACTATAATACATACATATATGTTCTACAACTTTACATATACAAGTGATAAAATTAACAGTTCTGGAAATGGTTTTGAATACAATTATTTTATTTTAGTAAAATATAAATTTTGTCTCAAATATTATAACGTATTGTGACATAGTGTGATTTTGTCACAAATATTGTGGCGAACTGTGTGAACCAAGTGTGACATAGTGTGACCGGGGAGGTCACACTATGTCACACTTATTGCTTTGACGTGTGACATACTTTGTAAATGTCTCTAAACAGGGATATTAATATGTAATACATTTACAATTGTTTCTAGTTTCAAACAAATTGATTATCAACAGTTTTGTGATTATGAAGTATTTGACAGTTGCTGTTGCTAACAACGCATCTGCAACTGTAATAGGACTTATTTAAGGATGATAATGGTATGGTGCACCTGCGCTAACGGTGTACCCTGGCGGGGCACCAGTGGGGGATGATAAGATGAGCATGAGGTCAGGTCAGGTCTAGTGAATTTCTCGATGGTTTCCCAAGGGTGCCGCGTGGATTTCGACTTGCTATGTTTAAATTCTAGTATGTTTAAAACAAGAAATATTTGCAAGTGTTACATCTTTCTCTGTGTGATTCTCGCTTCATCCGACAGGCCGCATGTTGCTTGACACAATTGACGTAAAATGTAATAGCCATTTATAATTATAAATTTAGTTGTTAAGCAAAACTATTAGACTGATTTTATTGATTTACCGATTTGGTTTGTTTGTAAGCGGCTGCACCCATTTGTGTAAGGTTCGGCTTCAAGAATAAACACATACAGTTTAACTAACAAATAAAAAATTCACTTTTTATCCGCCATACAGATTGTATTGAATATTCCTATATTTACCGGACGGCCTCGGTTGTCTAGCGGTTTAACACAACCGTACTTCCGATCGGCGCGGGTTCGATTCCTCGCACGGCACAAACATTTGTATTCATGAGTATGTTTGTTTGTATCGGTCTGGGTGTTTTCTATGTATAATATGTACGTATTTACGAAAAAAAAATCTATGTATTTGTATCAGTTGTCTAGTACTCATAACACAAGCTTTAGCTAGCTTAACTTGGGTCTAGATGGCGCTGTGTGAATTGTCCTGAGATTATTATTGTTTAGCAGTCTCATGGAGAGTAGTTTTTTTTAGAATAGAACTAAAGTTGTTTTCCGCAGCTACCCCTTATATATTCTGAGATTATTGTTATATATATATATATATGTTATAAATAGAAACGTCTTATTTTTTTAATCTATGAACGGAGTGAAGCCGGGGTGCAGCGCGTAGTGTTCCCACCAATACGAGACTGGATATATTTATTCGAAATTTATGTAAATTTTCTTTTAGCTTAGCATATTTTGACGTAATTGTAACTATTTTACAGATGAAATCGCGGGTAATATGTAAACACTAGATCTGTAATTCTTAAAAAAATACCCTCTTTGTTTTGTTACATTCTCGATTGGCTCGGTGGTCTAGCGGTTTAGCACACCGCTTTACTATCCGATGGTCGTGGGTTCGATTCCTCGCACGGTACAAACATTTGTATTCATGGATGTGATTGTTTTTATCAGTCAAGGTGTCGTCTACGTATAATCGTATTTACAAAAAAAAATTCTATGTATTCATATCAGTTGTCTAGTAACAATACAAACTCTGGTTAGCTTGGGACTAGATGGCGCTGTGTGAATTGTTATTATATGTTACCTACATACTTACCTTTTATATGTAGGTAACATATAAACCTTGAACAATTCACACACACATATAATACACTATCCTGAGGAGAAAAAACCATCGCTCCTAAGAATATCCTTCAATTCTTGTCCCTGACGGGTCTAGGGAGCGGACTCTGAAAAAGGGCGAGCACAATAGATCTATACAGGTGCACCTGACAATAGACCAAACAAACCAAAAACAAATATATATGTAAAAATGTTTTAAACTATATGTTATTAGTGTGACATAGTGCTAGTGTTGAATTATAGACTAGTGTTTACATATTGGCATAGTTATAAAATATTGTAAATTTATGAATGATTTTCTAATATTTGTTCTTTGAATGAATGCAATTTTATTGTTCATAAAGCGTGCCAGGTGTCCCGTCTGTCGCCGTACTTTGTGCAATCAAAATAAACTTGTATTATTTATTGAGTTTGCCAGTTTTTTTTGTCATCTCCCTTCACGTATCTTCATAAGCTAGATAATAGATAGAGAAGATAATATAATATTACATAGCGTTACTAACGGCAGTAGTTTTGTACTAGTATGTAATATTATATTATCTGTGGTACTAGTTAATTTTAAACTTTCGTGTTTAATATACATTATTTAAATTATTAACCGGGTTTTAACACGAATCATTTTATGGCAAATAAAGGTATTTACCTCTCTCGACGTTTCGACTAGGTTGCACTAGCCGTGGTCACGAGCTGACTGTCTGATTAATAAGACCCGGTCAATAATTTAAATAAAGTAGTTTTGTACGATTGAAAATTTAATGTAATATTCATTATTATTATATTAACCGTTAGTGCCATACATTTTTTCGTAATATATGTGAAAAATGCAAAGGAGAATTACCCTCTATTTCGTGAAATTTTGGAATAAGACAAAATAATGTGTAACTTTTGTAAAAATGTTTCAATTTTCAAAATAGCGGCCGAAACTCAAAAACACTGACGCGTGAGTCGCTACCGCGTATCTGGCACTTTTAGATAAATCTATCGCCGTGGCACTAAGATGGTTAATCCACATTACTAACACTACCTCCAGGTGGAATGGCCTCCATTCCATTCATTCATTCATCCACCAATTTTTGAATAATTTCATCTGTTCTTATCAAAAAATAGCTTGGATGGTGTGAAATGGGGTTGAAAATTTGTAACAGAAAATCTCGAGTAACAGATCATTATTATATAAATAAAAAACAACATATATATCCACTGACATGAGTACCTTAGTAAGGTACGTGTAGTGCATTTAATTACGTTACAATAAACTATTACAATTATTGAATAGAAAGTAAACTTATGTACGTAAACATTTGACTAATGTCACATATAAATTATTTACAAAAAGAAAAATATGTTTACACTTGACTAAACTTGTATAAAACACAAGTGAATATCATTTCATATACATGCATAATAATATGAGCTTATACTCTAACAATACAAGCTCATTTGATAGAGTTAGAGCAGTCTTGTCAGTTCTTCTCGGCTCAAAACTACCCAAACTGACAGTAGATTTTACTTATCCTAAATGTTGTAAAGCACTCACACAATTAAAGATATTTTGTTTTGTAACTTCATAGAACACTGTTACAGAGCTTAATTATGAATCAGTCCGCGTATAAATAATATATGTACAGTTGTTACAATTTTTCTGTCCGTTTGCACTAACGAACGTTCTAGATAATAAGCTTGGACAGTTTACACAGCGGCATCTAGTCTCAAGCTAAGCTCTGTATTATAGGTACTAGACGACTCTTATAAATACTTAAATATATATTTTTGTAAATACTTCATATACATAAAAAAACAACCAGATCAATACAAACAATCCTCCTCGTGAATATAATGTACTAACTTCGACATTGAATACGGAATTCCGTAGGGAAGTAATTTAGGACCCATCCTTTTCCTGATCTGTATTACCTTCCTCTGATCACTGGAAATTCCGTATTGTAAAATAATTAGTAGTAAGTATACAACTATGCCTAATCTGGATTTCACTGTGTCTCCAACTGGCTTTACCTCAATCTTAAAATGAAATTGTGTATCCCAAAACATCATATCAACCCTTTTAATTATACCTCCCACTGCAACTGTCCTTTTCTAGTTCGCAATGACACAATAAGATACCTAGAATTGTATTTAGATTATAAACTTAACTTCCAGCACCTTCTCAAGTGTTACAGTCGGGAGGATTCGTAAACTTATGTAAGTCTTTACAAGATTGCGTTATGTGACTGATGATATTGTTAGGATGGTCTACAAGTCCTCGACCAATCCCTCCTCACATACTGTATCACTTCATGGGTCATCATTATCATCATTAAAATTATAAAGAGCACAAAGACCCATACTCAAGGTGTATTTTTAAAACCATACTATTCCCCACCCACAACTTTTATCATTATTCCCAGGTATCTGCTGTTCACAAATTGTTTATGAAAATGATTTAGATATGATTGTGGCTTAATAAATATTATTATTATACGACAACATTCATTACAAATTACTTATCTATAAAATTTAAGATCAACATGACTGATTAAATGTATTCCTCTAGGCACACAACTAGGACCAATATATTAGAAACGCTTATTAATACAAGATTAAATAACTTAATTCTACATTCTTATTTAATCGATAACTTATTAAAAATTACTTATTTATAATCTACAAATCAGTATGGAATAGGTAATCTTAAATTTTATCTAACAGATCTAATAGATTGAACGATTTTGACTCTAATAGCTATGTTAGGATAGTTGTTCCACAGGGTTCATCTCTGGGGCCAATATTTATATTTTCTAATATGCTAATAAAATAATTATCCGTATTTTTTAGTTCACATTAATATTATATTTTAAATTTTGTGAGTTTGTAGGAGATAATATCTGAATGTACTGAACAGAATCTGAAAATTATTTTAACTAAAGCCACGTTATTGTGTCATAGATTATGTAACACAATTTACAACCAATATAATAGAGTAGAAAATACTTTATTCAAATAAACTTAATTTAAGCACTTTTTAGGAGGAGCGAAGGCGCAATGAAACTTTTGCTGAAACAAGGAAACGTGACGCAGATGAAGTTGAAAATTTACAGCAACTATTTTACATTACAGTATATTTGACTACTTCAATCTTAAATTTTTTATTTCTAAGCTTCAAAATCTGTATGTATTATGCAGTGGACTATTAAATTGTGTAGCTTGCTAATTATTAACGACTACAAATATACATATATACCTTAAGGCACAATTCTGAGACCAATATTTTACAATTGATAATACATTCTGTTTTGTTTATACATATTGTTTTTGATGATCTACAAGATTGTGTGTGTGTTATAACAAAACCTACTGTTATAACACACACAACCTTGTAGATCATGTATATTTCATCATGTTGTTTCATCATTTCGTCATCATGTATATTTAAGTTAAATTTCCAAATTATTAAAGCGTCTATTCCATACTGATTGACTAAATTAACCTTAAATCTAGACTATCATAATATATTTGTATTCTTCTTCACCTTCTGAAGGTTTAGATTCATTCGTTAGAGGTACAGTTGGCGTGATAATTAATTTTGGTTGCACATAGGGACTCGCAGCAGCCGGCAGACTATTAGCCGAGGGAGAGTATGTAATTTCTTTGGCGAAAGATTTAACTGAAATTTTTGGCTGACTGTCTACATTATTCGATGGTGTTTTATTAGTTTCATTTCCCATCGTCCTAAGCAGCGATGAAGATTTGGACCATGGGGCAGGAGAATACCTTATTTCTGAATTTCTAACCAGTACATGATTTGCAGGTAAATTGGAAAATGTATCAGAAAGAGTTGTTGTCTCTGGATTGTTAGGTGGTATATAATTGGCTGGGATGAAAGACCTAATAGGAGGTTCAGTTGGATTGACGGTGATGTAATTTGTTAATATTGAAGACTGTGTAAAACTAGATGGTTGGAACATCGAATGGTTTGATGCTACCGTTACTAGAGGATTTTGAACATTATTACTTGGTACAGCTCGCATAGTGTGAGTGGGGGCAGAATATACACGTACCTGTTTTGAGGGAGGTAAAACTGTTTTAGAAATTGTCGCCTGGACTGCCATAGTCATTGCATCTGATGATTTGTCTATAGCTGGCGGTTCTTTGTGTACTGGTAGTACTGTAGATGAAGATACTGGAAGTTGGTTTCCAGTTACTTGATTCGTGGAACTAGGTGTGGGGGTGTTGTTACCCCCTGGTTTTTTGACAGTTTTCTTAATAGTATTAGGTGTATTGGGTATTTTTTTGGGGTAAGCCTCTTTACACGTGGGTGATATCACGCCAGTTCGTAATGAATATAGTTCTATAGGTATTTGTTTGGTTTCGAGTATACTACAAATATTTATATCCGATACGACATACTTCACCTGTGAACAAACAAGATATGTATCAGAGAAAGATTATAACAATGCAGAAACGTATATCTTAATATTAATATTTTTGTGATACTGCATATAAATAAGTAAAATAAAAAAAAATCAATAAACAATAATAAATCCTTAATTCAAATAAATTGAATAATCATAGTCATTTTTTTATCAACTTTTTTTAATGGTTCTAGAAAAGTTTTTTATAGATATCAGAGAATCAGAAAAATCATCAGTATCAGAGAAAGATGACAAGTCATTTAAATTATGGGATACATCTAATTAAAAAGAATCAAGATGGCGGTCTATGAACAGAGACTTGCGCAAAAATGGCATCATAGGAGCAGCCCGCGAACTGAACGGATGAGTCGTGAGTAGATTTCTAATACTACCGATACCAAATCTAATACACAGCTTACAAGGTGTATGACTCCAATGACAAACAAATTACTCACCCGAGCATAGACAAGCGGGTTGTCATATATCCTCTTGTATATATTATTCTGTATACAAACTTCATCGGGAGCATGCAGCAGCACAGTAGTGCCGTCTGTGTTTGTGAACACATTAGTAGACACGTTTGAATCCCGACCAGACACTACGACCACATCCTCCAACCGACTTCTATTTTGACTCGTCTGGTTTCCATTTTGACTCATCTGGTTCCCAATTAGGTTCGTCTGATTCCTACTTTGACCCATCTGATCCCCATTTTGGTCCATCTGGTTCTCACTTTGACCCATCTGGTTACTTTTTGGTTGTGTATTAGGTAAAATCAACTTGGCAGTTTTACCTGCGGGTCCCGTACTCCAGTATGACGGTTCATCGAATGGTATCATATAATCTGTCACCACTAATTGGTCTTGGAATAGTCTCCAAATGGGTTTGGATAGGTCTATGCATAATATAAGGAGTGACTGTAACTCAGCTTCGCGTTCTAAGAGGTACTGTGCAATAGGAAGGGGTGGGACGAGCATGATATCGTCGATTTCCACGTCTGAATGGGGCTTCTTAACACGCTTTTTAGCTGCAAAAAACAATTAATAATAATTACCGAAATAGCATCTGTTGTCTAGATGGTCGCGGGTTCGATTACGCGCACGGTGCAAACATTTATATTGTATTGCACGAAGGTGGCAATCAAGAATACGGCCCATATGATGGTAAACAGTTGCCGTAGCCTATCGACGTCTGAAACACCATGGGTATCATGTGGGTTTTGCCGACCTTGCTACGTTTACATTCAGCCGCTTCCCCTGCCACTCGCAGTGCCGGAAATATTGCCGGGCGACAACTGAGCGAGAGGGCTGAATGTAAAAACACACTGCCACTCGCGCTGCCAGTCATTTGACTCGCGCAAGAAAAACCGACAATCGAGGGAGCGCCGGGCAGAGCGAGTGGCAGCGCCAATGGCATGGGAAGTATAATGTTTACACTCTCGCGCTCCTCACTTCCCTGCCCAATCGGCCTTACGAAACCTTAATATACCATTAATAAAAACCCCGTAACTGTCTAAAATGTACTACATATATAAACGTATTTTTATATTGGAAATAGATTGATTTAATAATATTCACCTTTCTTCTTCTTCTTCTCAGGAATGTGCCATGAAGGATCGCTACTACTGTCAGTATCTAAAAACAGTAAAAATAAGAATCATCAGAATTTAAGAGTTGTAATATTGGAAATTAATAAACAGCCGTGTTTTGGCTGTAAGGTGCAGATTAGACAGTGAAGTTACAGGATAAGAGGCATGACACTTTAGTACTCTGGAATGGCAACGCATGAGTATCACGCTATCACGGGCGTCACATGATAACGTGATGTCCGTAATGCACGCAACAAGATGCGGCTCTAGCGTTCGGGCGAGCACTAATAGGATCCTGGACAATATCGTATATTTAATATGACAGCCTCAGTGGTCTAGCGGTTTAGCACACACTTAACTTACGATAATGGCGGGTTCGATTCCTCATACGGTGCAAATATGTATATTTATGACTACAATTGTTTGTATTGGTCTGGGTGTTTATACATATATATATATATATATATATATATATATATATACGTATAGATGTCCTTTGGGCACTTTGTGGCTCTAACGTGCCATATAGGTACTAATTTGTTGATCCATTTTCACTTGTTGATCCAGGTGTCTTATGTTGATCCAATGCCAGCTGACCATAAATATGTAGCTCCGTCCGGAGCCACAAGTGTCACGATGAGTAATAATAATAATTAAGGGATTTTTATAGATTTTTATACGCCAAAAAGGTAGATTTGATCCAATTCAACTGGGCTAATCAGGGCGCAGCATTTACCAAGGGCTTCCTCATTGGCACGTTTGGGCTACAGTAACTTAATAATGTCTAGTATTTCAAATTCTCAAAGTAGTAGAGAATCTTGTCTCACAAAAAGGAAAACTCACAAGAAATCAATCTGGAGTAACGTGACTCCAGATCAAACTTCAATACTTGTTATTTTTTGGACCGGACTCTTTCTTTTTGTAACAACGTTACTGAGGGAGTGAAGAGATAGTACACAAAGGTGCAACACCCACCAGTGGAGCGAGTGAACTAGAAGATGATGCTCGAGTGAGTAGTGAACTAGCGTATGACGCATTAACTACAACGGAGTGCAGCAAGTGGTATAAGTGGCAGCGATCGACTAGAGCGAGCGAAATATCAGTGGAAGACGCATCATTTACAGAAAATGTCATGAGAAAACAACCAGAGGATGATGACGCAATAACCACAGCAGAATGGAGCGATTGGTAAACTGAGGGACAAAATAACGACTACTGCGAAGTGCAACGAGTGAAACTCCATCACTCACTCCACTCCTCTTTAGCTGATGCGTTGTCATGTACTGCTTTTTCACTTGCTCCACTCCGTTGTAGCTGTTGCTTTGCCATTCAGTTCTTCACTCACAGCACTTTGCTGTAGTCGCTGCAACGTCCTCCATTGGTGTGCTTGTCTCTACTCTCCACTTACTGTTGCATTGTCATTCTCTGAACGACATGCACGAGTGCAGCAAATAGTGAATCAACGGACGATAACACAGCGGTTATAATCAACTAGTATAAATGAAGAACCAACAATTACAAAGGAGTGAAATAATGAACAGCATACGACGACGATGCAGTACCTATAAATGAGTGGAGCGACTGAATAAGCAGTCGCTCCACTCATCTGTAGGCATGAAAGTGCGTGTGCTTATTTTGTAGATTTCGAATAAAAAACTTTATGTTGATCGATAGATTTTATTTTCGTTTTCGAAAAATAATAAAGCAATTATTGTAGTGTTGATATTTACAATAGAAAAAACATTGGTAACTCGCAAAGTCATTCATAATCATCTCAAAAATGTAAGTATGTGTTAGACGGAAGGGGTCTTCATAATATCTAATCAAACCTAAAATAGTAAAACTAGTAATTCCCTATTCCCTAAAAAGTATTTCCCTATTATTTATCCATAATTTTCATTAAAGAATAGTGAAACAGTCAAAATATTTTTTGCACGATCGGAGTGTTGGTGCAGTGGTATTAATTATAATTAAACATTGTTACTTAAAATATAACACTTATTTAAATAAACCATTGTTTCTCTTATATTATAATACAATATTAAATTCTATGCAGTCTTATGCATTTTTTCTTGTCCGAGTTTTAACAAAAATATAAAAATATTTTTTTTTATCAAACCCCCGGAACTAAATCTCCGGGGACCATATGATATTTTATAAGAAATAAAAAAAAGGGAAACAAGAATTGTGACTAGTATTAACAAAACACTAAGAATAATTGTTATTTTGAGTACTTTTCAGCTGAAACAAAGAACAATGAAATGAAATTGTACACTTGCCTTTAATTCAAAGGAAATATTGCGAAAGAGGCAGTCCTTGGATTTTATATTTTTATTATAAATATTTACAATATTGTTGATGTAAATATTAATTAACAGCAGATTGGAGCGATTGGTAAACTAAGGGACAAAATAACGACTACTGCGAAGTGCAACGAGAGAAAACTTCATCCACTCCACTTTAGCTGTTGCTTTGCCATTCAATTGTTCTTCACTCACAGCACTTTGCTGTAGTCAAACAAATCTTTCCGTGAAGCCCCATGAAATGAAATTACACTTGTCCTTAATTCAAAGGAAATATTGCGCAAAGAGACAGGCCTTGGATTTTATATTTTTATTATAAATATTTACAATATTGTGGATGTGTTTTAATTTGCATCCAAGTTCGTTTATGCAGAATTGGCTCTTTGCGCATAGTTGTTTTCCTGAATTTTCTTTCATTTTTACAAATTGTTTTAGATGACGCATTACTGCTTCAACCTCACCTCTACTACATTTGTTATGAGTTTTCTTTCGTCTTATTGGTTTTGGTACAGTTATTTCTTCATCAGATCCATCATCGGATTCATCGGTAACTGAAATACTTACTTATTTCTTTTTTTAATGCTCTGTACGTTTGAGTGCAATGTTAATAGAAATTTCGCTATCCGATGACCCGAAATTGACGGCATCTGCTTTGGAGCACTTTTTTGTTCACTTATATATTTTTTGGTTTCGTCAATTGTTAGTTTATTTATTTATTTGCTCTTATGTTCAGCTGTTGTTCAACTTTTTATCGGTAAGTATTTTTTTTGTCTTTCTTATTTTTCTCTTTAACATAATTACTCTTCTTATTTTCTCACTTCTTTCTTTACATATAACGCTTTTATTTTGGTGATCATTCTCTTTATTATTGTCTTCATTGATCATAATGTTGTCGCTGTGATTATCTTTAATTATATTATCCTTTATTTCTGCTGCTATTTGTTGCTCTTTATTTTTGAAAGTTTTGATTTGTTTGTCCTTAATATAATCACATTTGGTTTCATTTTCTATGCTATCTGTCATTATCACTTTTTCTTTTTCTATAGGATTTTCTTTGTTTATTGAATGATTTTCAATTTCTAAAAGTCTGCTGCCAACAAGGCCCTTTTGAATAGCTTGTATGGGTAATCGATTGTTACTGACATGCACTTGCATATCGTGACCGAGAAATGTAGCTAAATGTTGGTTATATTTATCGTCAGTTTTACCATGAACTTGAGAAATCGGGGCAATATGGTGCCAATCCAGTCGAGGTCAAAATTTGCGGCTTTTTTTAAGACGCACATGTTTTTTATTCTTTTAAGACATCTCCCTCCATCAAATGGTTTATCCGTGAGTGTCGATGCAGACAAGTAATCGGACGAAATTTTCAAAATTGATCGACAAGCTATTTTATTTATTTTATTTGACTTTTGTCAGTAGCACGGGTACAGACCTACCTCGTTTACTTGGAGTTTGGGAAATGTCTAAATCTGATATAGCTTATTTTTGTTTTTTTGTCCAGAATTTCCTGTACTTGCGGTGGAATATTGTTTGTCTTTCGGTTAAGATAACATTGAAGCTCTACTTCGGCAACATTACCACTTCGTTTGCGATATAAAAGTATAATATGTGCAATTGTAACCTAACAAATATTTTCGCAATTGACATTTGTGATATCCTTTTTTTTATCATCATAGTCTTCTTCCAGTTCATTCATTTTTATCATAACTTCTTCGATTTCTTTCTCTGGTGGCATATCTTCTGCTTCTGTCATGAGGTCACGCTTCCGTGTTTTCTCAGCATTCGAAGAAACTTCCCATTGCCAATTGGCCACGAAGAGTAACTTAAATCCGTTCAATTTATTCTTGATGTCTTCTTTTTCTGCTATTGACTTGTCCATAATAGTATTGGTAAATAAAATATCAATACAACCAAATATTTCTAGTCGAATTCTTGCAGGTACGCTAACCTTTTTAACGTAGCCAGTTTCTTCATCAAAACCACTCATTACTTTTACTGCTTCTATAAAACATTCATAGTACTTAGGCTCAAACAAGTTTTGTAGTTGGGTAATCTCAGAATTTTTTTCTCGTACGATCTTTAAAAGATTGGCAAGGTCTCTCATTCTGGAGCATATTACATTTACACTTCTTACACTTCTTACTTTCATATTCGTCAGAAGTGTACAGCCATATGCAATAATTAAAGGATCTTGTTTCACAATACGAGAAATTTCGTCACTACGCAGCTTACATAGTATGTTCTGTTGAAATTCTTTCGATGTATGAGCAAATTTTGGTGTAATACTTAATGCGTGTTTAGCAAGGGCGTAATGAGGCGTATCATCTTCCTCACCTATACACTTCTTGGAATGTCTGTAGAACGTTGACCTTTTGTAAGTACCCAGGCATTTTTTACAGATCACAAATCCTGATGGACTTCCAGGTACTTCTTTATGAGGCTTCCTTCTCGACGGTATTAAATATCCCTTATTATTTGAAACCACATTGCTATTGTGAATGTAATTACCACGATTTCTCAAATTCTCAGTAATAGCTTGCCTTTTCTTTTTTTGAATTTTAGGATCTGAGTCTTTGATAGCCATAAGCTTTAGGACCTCTACTTCATCACCATGATTCCTCGTTACATGGCGCGTAAAATTCGTCACTAAGTTCTCGCAATAGGGGCAACAGTTCCGTCTATCCCAACTTCGTTGTCCCGCTGATTTCGTTGGTGCAACCTGGATAAATCAAAACGACAG